CAATAAGAACCGAAAAAGTGTGAAAAAGCGTAAATGCTCTGCGTAACCCGTGAAGAAAAGATAAGAAAAAGAAAAAAAAAATTGGTGGATTGAAAAAAATGGACAGAATATTCTCAAATTAATGGCGAATTTTGATTTTCAAGGCTCAAAGAATGGGAATTAAAATGCAAATAGAATGAGTGTTTCCATGTTTGAAAAATTCATCCAGTACATTCTTCTCAGTGGAGAGAACAACAGGAGACCCTCGAAATGGCGGTTAACGCCACAAGGACAGATTTACCAGGAGCTGATCCCAGAGGACCTGTCTCCAACCCTGTGACGAAACGATCCCCAGGGTGCGCGTACGTTCATACATGCGAATCGAGAAAATTTACCTCCCATCCTACCAGTTTCCACATACAGATTGTAATTCACCAGTGGACACACTCGAAACACCATAACGAGCACCATCAGCGGGAGCTCGTTACGCTTTTAATCGTTTCATCAACTTGTTGTCGCACCAGCCCCCACTCTTCCACCTCCATTTTTTTTGTTTAATTTCGAAATATGAGGAGAGGATGCACCTGGGGAATTGCGAATAAAAATTAAGCTGCAGGAATAATTGTCAACAGTCGATGCAACTCTTTGTTTGCTGCAGTGTCGATGGGATCCGTGATTGCTTTTTTCTTCTGCTCGATGAACAGCTTTGTTGTAAAGTGAGCGGACAGTCAGCTATAGAAATAATGCAACGAAAAATATTATAAATGAAAAAATTATTTAGTTTAAATTTTACTGCCAAAAATATCACGTTAGGAAAATATTATGTGCTAAAACATTATTATTCCACAATATTACAACAAAATTGGAGCAAGAGATATTTTAGCAGGAAAAATAATTATTGATTATCATAAAAAAAAATAGTGTAAAACATCATGAAAAATTAGATATTATTTTTAATTATTACCGTAAATTTCACTCGTCACAACTATTTCTCAATATATCAATAATCTCTAAACAATTCACAGATAACAATAACAAAACTAATAATAATAATAATTAACTATATTCATGTATAGTATTTAAAAAATAATTCAATGTTATAATATTTCATAATATTTCCGCGTAGCAAAAAAATGATATCACATTTTCAGGGATAATATTATTATATTATTATATTGAATAAAATCTATAGAGGGACTATCGAGAGGATCGTGAACATGATGATAATCGATTTATTCTTTATCGTTTCTTTAGAAGGACAGATCGGTCGACACTCGGTAAATAAAGAAGAAGTAAAATAACTTCGGTTATTGTGGAGATAACAATTATTTCCACTGCCTGAATTTCGCCTTCTGAAACCAAGAACTTAAACCTCTGTGAATAGAGTTGTTAGGTACCTGTTATAAAAAACAATTGTGAAGAGATGGCGAACATACGATTGGAGATGAATACTCGTTTTAATGAGGCGAGGGAAGAACAAGGGAGGATGTAAATTTCCAAGAAAAACTTGGTAAAAATGGATGAACACTTGAAGTGAGATATGATCTCCTAGAATTATGTCTTGATTAGGTAAGCCTGGAGATTTCTGGTGATCCGATGACGACTCACCGGCATTTCCTCGAAGGGGATGCACCCGGGGGATGAGGTAAAACGTGAGATACTAGAAAAAACAAACATCCTTACAACCAAAGACTCCTCATTATTCACCAGTTAGAGAGTGAAAAGAAAGGAAAAAAGAATCTCGAAGAAGATCTTGAGGACACGTTACTTAGCTTCACCGTAAATCTACTGTCCACGGGGTGCATTCACCGTTAGATTTTCGTGCCTTCCTTGAATACCTGTGGTGGATGAATACTGAAAAAAAAATAGTGAAAGTCAATTAATTCAGAATCGAATTTCGTGATTCAGAAATTATCCCCTGAGTAATTCGATTGGACGAGTTAGCAGGGGGTGTATGAAATACGGCGGTTTGGTGCTGTCGTATTCTACTATCTAAATTAATATAAATCATCATTTGTCGGATCCAACAATTCATGGAGCGACGGAGAGCTCGGGTAGATCCTCATAACGTCGTGATGTTTTCTTAATGGACGACACGATAACATCACCCCTCTTTATGTGTACACGCAGATTCGTGGCATCAAGTTCATGCTGCAGGAATAAACTTTTACATGGGGTAAAAAATATCACGGGAGACTGGCTAATTTATTCTTATTTTGTTTAGTGAGGATAAACAAGGAGATCACTATCAATGGTTCATGCTGACTTTTTGGCGTTTTTCATTTTATTTGTCATCTGCAATTCAATTATTTGCATATAACTCTATCAAAATCCCTTAATATATTTTATAATCCTGTCGATTTCTTCGTAACTCTTCAAAAATTCGAAATTTCATCATTTTTTCATTTCCGCCAAATTCCGCCAAATGAAAGCATGTATACGGGAAATTAAATAATTTTTTTTTCTCATATAAAAATATCGATTCCTAATCCTCGATATTAATTACAATTTAATTAATTCATTAATTCTCTTTTCGTGAAGCGTATTACTAATTTATTACCAAAAAATTAAATTAATGAATGTGCAAATGAATGCTAATAAGTGCTAAATATTGAATTGAATAAATTTGTTTTAAACAATTAATAAAAATCTTGGAGTTCAATTGTAACTCTAATTGTTTGCAATAATTCAAATTTTAAATTATAAAAATAAATGAGAAAAATATTTTTTATTGTTTCAAATATTGCATATGACTCTATCAAAATCCCTTAATATATTTTAGAATCCTGTCGATTTCTTCGTAACTCTTCAAAAATTCGAAATTTCATCATTTTTTCATTTCCGCCAAATTCCGCCAAATGAAAGCATGTACACGGGAAATTAAATAATTTCTTTTCCTCATATAAAAATATCGATTCCTAGTCCTCGATATTAATTACAATTTAATTAATTCCTTAATTCTCTTTTCGTGAAGCGTATTACTAATTTATTACCAAAAAACACTACGAGAACTAACGAAAGAACGATCCGCCACTTGTTTATTCTAATAGTCTTAATTGAAATTAATCTCCACTACATGTATGCATTTCCCCAATGAAAAATAAATACTTACAATATATATTATGTACAATTTCACTTAATACATGAAATATAAACTAAACATAATGGAACGTTAATACACAGTGATGTATAATATTGGTGTGTGGGTATTTGTCCCAAAAAAAATTTCTGTCAATAAAATAAAAATCTTTTTTCATATGAATTCTACATGCCTCCGTGTTATTATTCATAACCACGGTTTTCACACCGTAATCGAAATCATGAGCGCCATTAAATTCGTTGGACGTGCCTTAATAGCCGGGAACAATGTTTCGGGTGCAGGGCCATTTGTCATCCGAGAAAATTGAGTCTGCATTGCCAGGGAATAGGGCATCCATACACATACGACAAACGATTGAGCATCTGTACAATTTCTACCCCATATAACAGTGGTCCTCTCCGGGATTCATTGTTCGTGTTTCATGAACTGGCTCGACACCAATACACCTATAGACTCATAACAGGCTTGATGGTATGATATCCCACTGGTCCATGGACTCAAAATCATTAATATATGGCTGGAGGAGCCATTGTTGCGAATTAGGTAGCATTGAACGAGGTTATTGTGGAGATCAACAGGGGGGCTGTACTTTCAGTTTTGGTAGACCTCGCCCGTCGCGTGTCGACTCCCATCCCCTTCCCTCTCTTTCCTTTTTTGGGATGTTATACACCCTTTCCGCTGGAATTCACATTGTTTTTTTATTTTTCTAGAGAATTGTTGCTGAAATTTGCGGTAAAAATAGATCGTTTTTACGTTTTGTTGGGATTTAAGAAGTTGAGGTTTGAGGTTTTAAAGTGAATAGTTTTCGACGTCTTTTCTATTTGACAAAAATTGTACTAGGAAATTGGGGAGATAGTAGATAATTATAAAATGCATACATGTTGTAATGATAATTTAACAGAAAAAAAAGGGATTTTGGTTGAAAAAAATTGTAAATTCGTTATTTAATTCTTTGGAAATGCAACTCTTTCAGGACACAGAGACTCTATGACTTAATTGAATCATCCTACTTTTTCAATCGTTGCTATTAATATCCAAAGCACTAATACGAATATTACTGGATACTCCTGTAATAAGTAAAACGTTGTTGAAAATGTTTGAAGAATTGTTTAAAAATTTATACCGGAAATGCGCCTACATTATTTTAAACTGAGATTTATTTACGAAAATGAGAGAATCGAAATTTGCTGCCATAATTAATTAGTAACAGGAAATAGTGTAAATATGTTCCCATAAACATTTCAACATTTTGAAATTCGAATTTCTTAATTTGGAGTTGATAACTGCTATTATCAAATAAACAAATCACTAAATAAATCACTATCAGATTATTTTGTTTCGTTTTTAATTTCGGGCTTTTTAATAGTTTTAATGTTCAATTTATGAACACAATAAAATTTGAATTTCATAATTATCGATCTTCAATTGGAAATGAGAAATTGATTATTACGGGATGTTGTTCTGAATTAGACGGGCATTCGAAGGATTTGGATTCATGACATCCGCACAGTTTCCACCTTGAATGGATCAGCAGTTCCGCAATCTTCTGCGGATATTTCTCTTTTCATTCCATCTTGAGAACGGAATGTTCAGTGTTGAATGTTATTAAGTGGCGAATGACTGGATTGCTGAGTTTTTTATTAGTCTGTGATTTTTACTGCCAAGACTCAGAAAGAAACCGATTGCGAGAGCTCGATAGGACTCGCCCGCCATCTTATGGAAGTTCTGAAAGTGAAATAATAAAATGGAGACTACGCGTTCATTTTGTTATCCGCAGGGCTTCGAGTTGGTACAATAGATTTCTTGAGATAACGGCGTGATAATTTGCCTCAAAAATGTATATTTGCAGTAATTTACTATTTCAATTTGAATTACATCGAGTTAGATTTAGGAGCAGAGTTATAAAGTGAGATATATCAATTTTATCCATTATACATGATTGTTTATTAATATTCGTGACAGTGTCACTATTACAACAATATACTTGTTTAATAAAAACTAGTAAATATATATTTGCATAATACTAATCCGTAATACCACTTATCGAATTGATAATCTAAAAAATATCACCGAGAGTTTCACAAAAGAGAACTTATCGATAAAAAAGAGCAATGAAAAATCATCGAGAACCAGTGGAAAATCAACAAATCAACCAACGACTGGACAATATTATTGTCAAAGTTTTCTCTTCCCATCGAGAGTAAATGATTGAGAGATTATCGGGAGAGCAGAAACGCATAGATTTTGGCACTGTTAATCGTTAACATTGATTGGGATAAAATGGAAAATTGAATAGAGTATGGAACGCAAAAGAATTGTACCTTTTGACATTAAAATCTCGTACGTAGACAATTATATGCGGCAATTATCATTAATGTTAATGTATATACACATTCTCTCCGGCGCTCGCGTTCCAATCACAAGCTTGACAAGCCATTGAGCTTGCACATTGTTTTCGATTAATTACACAATTCGTTCGAGTCTTCATCGAAGTCACATGCCAGCGTTGTTAGTATCCACTAAGCCATTTACATAAAAATAAATATGATATTTATTCTTAGAAATTGGTCAATTTCGGTCGGCGTTTTCATTCACTATTCTCTCCCTTGTTATTCTTCAATCTAAGTGCAAAAAAGCTTAATCCCTATTCACTTTAAAATCACTAAGTCATTCGTTCTTTCGCAACTACCTGCACGCCAACGGTGCAAATGCAACCGCTCATTTGTGCGTTATTTTCCTGTGGAAAGTGGTGCACTTAAATTACAATTATATAAACATTAAAATGGCTTTCGCAAATGAACCAATTATATTCATTTTATTCATTCCTGCAATGCATTATTGCAAGTATACTTGTGATATTGTGTTCCAACGTTGTTACTGTGTATAAAAGAATCTCAAAGAGAAAATTCTTGAAGATTTACCTCAAAAGTGTCTATTTTAACAGAACCATGCTCTTAATACAAAAATTCTACAATTTCCATTAGATTCCAAGATCGTTCTTCCAAACTTACATATTTATTAAATTAACTTGTTATTTACCCATTCTCTACTAAATCTAATCCTTCTGCAGAATTTGCAATACGATACGAAGGATTTTCTCTCGATTCTTCAATACGTACAATCATCGTGAAAAATATTCAATGGCAGTAATTGTACATTGGACACTGAGAATCATCAGTTACTCGATCACGTGTGAATACTTCGAACACTAAAAGTCATGAACATTGCTGAGCTTATCGCATATAAAACATATAATCTTCATCGATTCTTCAGAGTAGAGTAGAAAATTATTAATCACTTTGAAAGTGCTTTAAATGAATTTCATCTACCCCACCGCTACACTGAGAAAAAAATATCAATATCGATAGGATATTGAGTATTTCCAATATTTGCTTCTCCAGTCGAATAATATCCAGAGACTTTCCAGTCGGTTTCAATTTCGAAAATTATGTTGATGTAGAAACTGATGATATCGAAGACTGTGATTGTCCTTTTTTGATAATAATCATTAATATAAAATGATTAATTGAAATCGTCTCAAGAAAACGGTAAATTAAAAAAAAATGAATAGTTATTGGAGGAGTTTTCACAAAATCATATGAAATATAATTGTCATGATTAAAATGTAATGGAAAGAGTCTGGAAATGATTTAATGAGAGAAGTACGATGTGAGAAGCACGAATACTTCTTTCAAATAAATGCAAATTTGACCAAAATTGTTTTTTTTTCAGTGCACATTACTAAGAAACAATTTGGGACATCGAAACGTTGTGATCTCTATCGAGAAATCTACATTCATATTAAAAGAAATTCGAGATTAACCCTTAAAAATCACCGAAAAGGCGATTTAAGAATGTGAGAAAGAAGAAATAAAAAATTGTCATTATGTTGCTACACGTTCCTCCTTACGACCACCGTCGAGATACTCGTAAAAATAGTCTCTGAAGTAGATTGTTAGTCTTATAAGGGACAATACACATATGACGTAAAGGGAAATGGCAAGGAGTACGAGCACTGCCATACGTGCATTTGCACCAATTTCACCGTCGTGGCCTGCATGTGCATTGCGACCACTGGCCATCTGCCTCCTAGGATGTGAATCAAGTTGATAACGGTAGGCAGAGGCCTGTGGTCAAGCTCAGGACCTCCATCGTGCCCGTTGCATCTCAATCTGTCCCTCGAGTGTCTTAGCCAGATAAATGACGAATAATTGGCTCAGTGCAATACCAAGGGCAATACCGGCTATTGTGTACAGATTGCGCTCTGCCCAGCTGCGGACAATCTCTATGCAACCACTTATCCAAATTCTCTTGCCAGCTTCTGATGGGGGGAGCATCTGAATTTGGTAGCCACACATTATATTCACTAGTCCACTCTGCGAGAAAACAAGAGGAAAAGTCAGATTTTTGTTTAAAAAGAAGGTTTCCTTGTGAGAATAATGAATTTAATAGAAGAAACTTGAAGGTAGTGATCAGAGAGAACTCACAGAAATGTCTGTAGTATTTATGCAACATGAAAATGGCACTCCACAACTTTCTCGCCCAGGACTTGAGCAATTGAAGTATTCGTTCTTCTGCCAATCCAAATAACCTTGTTGACTGAGGCCACAGCACTTAAACTGTATAAGTAAATAATCTATTAATACAACTCCAGGATAATAGTCATTGTAAAGGTTGTAACACAATACGATATAGTCTGGGATACAAGCGGGTAATAAACGACAATAAAAGTTCAATGTATATCCACAAAATCTCACCTCCTGCTGTCCAAAATCGATGAAATTCTGTAAGTCCGGATCCTCCCTGTAGGTCTGAATAATTTTATCCGTAAATGACTCCTCCAGAAGTGACTGAAGTGTATGTGGAAATACAAATCCCACAATAGCAATTCCCATTTCAAATAGGAAAAACGCTAGCAAACACCAGGAGTACTGAAAACAATTTATAATTCCTTAGTGTTAAAATGACAAGTGCCAGGGAGATCCTACAGAAATTCACAATAATTTTTATAAATATGTCAAACTTCCTCGATAGAGTGAGTATGAACAACGACGAGCCCACAGTATACTCACAAATTTTAGAAGACAGGTGTTTTCCCTAAGTGCCCCCACACAACCTGCAAAGCTGACGATAAAAACAACTCCACCAGCAATGACCATAACCAGAGAAATATTGAGCACAACATCATAAACATTCTCCACTCGAACTGATCCCGTTGTCTGCCATTTATCGTAAAAAGCGTAGAGTCCCACGCCAATGAGCAGCCCTCCAAAGAGCTAATAATTCACGGTTAATTATCACTCATTGTACTGTACCAAAGTAACAATAACTTACCCAAAATACAAAGTTGAGGATGAAGATCATGTACTTGACGCACGAACTGACGTACGTAAAATTGTTTGTGCGTCTACGGTTGTACATGGCGAAGGAATTCGTCGTTTAATCTTAAGTATTCCGTTTATATCCCTTTCTGATATCCCTGAGCTACATATGTGTTACCAAAACCCTAGCCAGACACTGAAAGCATCCATTGCCTTATGCACTCTTCTGTAGTTGCTGCATTCTCAACAACCTCCTCCACGAGATATCTCGATGATTTTGTGACACTCGCTATTTTAGGGTCTATTTTAATTAGCTCTAATTATGATAATGCACTCCGAATGATGGACTACCATGGAACTTTTGACAGGTGATTATTAAATACCATTCAGAGAGTAGTCATCAGTTTTATTTCCACACTGAGGCCATCATGCATTGCGATGGGTTTAAGTTTTGATCAGAGAATGTAGAGGCGCTACTGGATTATTCTCGAGAAAATCAGTGGTAAGAGATCGGACGTGGTAAGACCATTCAAGGAATCATAGCTGATATCTTCTAATTTTTCAAGTTTTTTTTGGCAATTTATGGGAAATATGATTTATATGAAAAAAAAATTATATAAAGAAAAGTAAATTTTACAGGAGAGCCGAGAAAATAATACGTCGTTAATTTACCAGAGCTACCAAGGGTAATTTCAATTTCAAAAACTGAAACAATTTTCTTTATTATTATTTATTGTTAAAATTTCAAGAAAAGGTCAATAGATTTAGAATTTAAGAAGAAAATTTCGTGAGTTTTCACTATTTCCAGTTATCTAGTTGTCCTGTAAATGAAAAATAATTCTACAAAAATTCCATAATTATATAGAATTTTTCAAAATATAGAATTCATCAATTGATTTTTGAATGAATTTCGTGTAAATCGACGCAGTAAAAATTTGTCAGAGTAAGAAAATGTTTCTTTCTTTGGGGCTGCTCTCGTTTACCAAGAGATTTTGATTATGGAGTGGGATTTTAAGTCTGAGAGCCTGTTTTCGAAGTTGTTTATCCCATTTCCTCCGGAGATGGTGTCGCCGATGGATGAAAACGATATACTCCACAATAAAGATGATGAGCGAAACGATTACACCGATTGCCAGAACTGTGAAGATGACGTAGACTTGTTTCATTCCGACAACAACATATTTGTCGGGGGGCCATGACAACGGAGGAATCAGCCAGCGATCCTTCAAGGCGTCCAGAAGACCCACTTCAATGAGTTTTAAAATTCTAGAATGAAAGAGATGAGTGGAGTCAATTCAAGTTATGATCATATCAGAAAAACGTTTAATTCATAATTCCTATTTACCCATTATCAATTGGCCGTTTGAATTGAAAACCCTTGACCATTCCTGTGGTGATCCAAGTTGAAAAATATGCTTCTTCCGTTGGAATGAATGTACACGTGCGAGTAGCCCTGGCGCGATGTCTGTCCTCAGCTTCGAAAAGGGCATCTTTGCCGGTTCCATGGCATCCAGTTCTGTACATGTCCTCGGCGACAGAAACGTATTTGATTTTACGCCTGTACTTACGAGATGTGTAGTTCGGGAGGATAATATCCTGAAAGAAACTTCCTTCATTAAATAATATTATCATAAGAAGTATCTTGTCACTCATTTTTCGATTTTGGAATTTTGCGTGAAAATTATGTAGAATATCATCAAACGTGAAAATACCAAGTTTCAAATAAATGTGTGTGTGTGTTTGCATGCGTGTTAATTAAAAAAAAGTGAATCCAAAAAGATTAATGATGAAGCTAAAAATCTAAAATTTTGTGGAATAGTGGATTATTAGGGAGTATATCTCGGCAAAATTTCAGATCGATCGGTTGAGGATTTTTCGAGATATACCAATTTCCCGAGAATCGTTTTTTTCGACTTTTTCAAAAACTACTCATTTCACTTGTACCGTAATATTCTATTTTCTCTGAGTGCCCACTTCATAATTCCGCAATTACGCAAATTAATGTTAATATGGACAAGAACTTCGTACTTGGAACTTGCTGAATGCGAGTGAAGCAGTACTGAGAATAAGTTTATAATCTGTTTTGACCAGCAGCGAGTCAATGCCAGTAAATGGCAGGTGCATTTCTTTATGCGTCATCGATGCAACGAGGGTCGTACTGAAAATACTTATAATCAGCCAAGCGGACGCTCTTCTAGAAAAGGCCATTATCCGGGATCGCTCCACGTGGACAGCTATACTCCCTGATAAATAGCACAATAATACCATTGCAAAAAGACATTCTATTTAAAAAAATTGTGGATAGCTGTATAAAAAAAATCACCTTGATTGCAGAACGCTCCGAGGGTATAAAAAAAATGTTCCAATAGCAGATTTTGTAGAGTATTCCCATGAAATCTGATCATTGCTTGGTTCAACCTATCAAACAGAGCCCCCAGGAGACTGAAGAGTCCTATAGAAATTATGATAGAAATCCAACAAGGCAGAGGAAAAGTCTTAAAGATCCAGGAGTCGTCAGATTCGAATTGTGGCCTGACGTACACTCGGAAGCTGAAACAATTCGAGACGATAATAAAAAAACTAGTAGTAAACCTTGAACCACGAGGAAAATGGATAAATGAGTGAAGTAGATGATCTTCGAAAGCAGAAAGTGACTTTTTCCTTGAATGAGAGAAAAATTTAGTAAAATGTAGTAAACTTATTTGTAAACAATTAAAAATATTTTTGGAGTAAATAACTATTCGGTTTATGTACTCTTCTGATATATTCGCGTCTATTTATTGTTTCTTAACAAATACCTAGTAAAAATAAATGAATATACCCTTAATGACCTAGTTATGTAACATCGGAACAGAAAACTATATTATTTAATTAATATATTCGTTAATTTATTGACACCATTGAGAAGTTATATTTTACAAAATATTTTTCTAATCTTAATGTACCACAAAAAATAATTGAAAATAGTTGAGATCACCAAATATATTTAAAACTTGAATGCACCCTCAGGTACATTTTAATAAATAATAATTTCAAATGTCAATTCTTGGAAACACGTAAAGTTACAATTGAACTCCACAATTTCAATTATTTGTTTTAAACAAATATATTCAATTCAATATCTAGCACTCGCAATCACATATGTAGTCGCGATTGTTCCTCAATTTCATCTGTTAGTTTAACGCAATTTTTTTGATTTACTAAATTGTTGTCTCCGTGCAATTAAATTTTTCAATGAATCCACCATTGATGTCCCATATATTATTGTTTGGGCGACGATAATGAATTTTTTATAGGTCAAAAAATTATTAAAACGAGAAATTTTCTTCGATAGGATCCTTTAGGATAACCTTGGATCCTTAAGGGATGAAATTCCTATAAAATTGCAAACCTATTAGTCCATAAAGGAGTGGAGTAGTCGATGATGTCATTGGTGTTCAGGTAAAATGCCACTCGTGGTACGATATCCACTTCATTACGCCGCAGCATTCCAATGAGACCGATATGGCTTTCGCTGGATTGTGAACCGAATTTCGCTTCGGGTATCTCCACAGCTTCAATCCTAAATAAATCTGTGAAGTAATCATCTGAATAATCTTGAACCTCGAAATACAACCGATAATTAACACTGCAATCATCATTTACTCATCGATTATATAATTACTCCATTATAAAATCGATTACCTGATGATTCAACTTGAAATACCGGAAATATCTTTTGTTGGGGAGGAGTAATTCGTACTCACGTGAAATTCAAAAAATCTGCGAGCATCGTCCACATGTCTCCTAGAAGTCCCGAAAGTTTTGTGCCATTATTTTCGAATGTCATCAAGTTCATTTCCTGGAATAAAACTAATAATATGAACCAGAATAATTAAAATATTCATATTCAGATCGTGATTCAGATTATAATTTTTGTTTATTGTTAAAAGGTATTCAACTCAGCAATCCCTCCGTTTTTGTTTTTCTTTTCTATTTCAGTCTCTATTTCACGCAAATTATTTTTCATATCTCATTCAAGCTTTTTTACTAGAATTAAGAATTTTTTATAGTTGAAACCAGTCACGGGATTATTTTAACCAAGCCGATATTCCGGATTGAATCATTTCGCGTTACCTACTGGAATAAAGACTGGATTGCCACTATTTTTCATGGAATAATCCGGTTTGATATTTAAAATAATCCAAAAACTCGGCTTGATTGGGTGATTTCAACTTGAATCAAATAGGATTCAATTGGTATAGACTTCGGCAGCGGACTGATCCCAGTAACTAATTTTTTTATTGTCATCAAGATCTGGGAGTTTCGGATGTTTACAAAATTCACAGTATATAATATGTTCATTCACATATTAGTGGAGGACCATATGGACACGGCCCACTATATAATTCAAATTTATTCCCATTTTACTTTCCCGCAGTTGACATCTCGCACATTCAGAACGAAATAGTCAGAAAAAGATGCGAAAACGATAAATAAGTATTACGGATACGGCAATCATCTCTCAGAAATTAAAAAAAAAAGTGAAAAATGAGAACATTTGGCATTAATTCCTAAAACACTATTGAAAGAGATAAAATAATATTTTTCCCTGTTTAAACAAAAAATAAATCCAGTTCTACCGTATGATAACCAATCCTCAGAGTTTCTCCCTGAAGTCTAGCTCTTTCGGCTCCCAGACTGACATTATGATTTTTAAAGACCAATTCCCGGAATATTGGAATTTCCCATATAGGAACGAAATCCTCAGCTGTTCTGTCCCACATCAAAATGTTAACTCCCGAACCAATCGACTTCACAACATGAAGAATACTAAATATCGAAAAACTTGACAGAAATTTCATGACGAGATTCAGCCGCGCAGAAAAGATCGACTGAATTTACATGCATGTACTCCCGTGATTTATCCACTTGCACCTGCCCAGCAGAACGCATTACAAATTGTCGTCCATTCCATTATCACTAATGGATCCTCGATTGAGGGTGAACAAAAATACTGGGAATTATATAAAACATCGGGATTACATCTATCAATCGATCCACTTTGAATACCGTTAGGGTAATCTCACGCGAATTCTCGCTACGTAATCATACATTTTCTACGTTTTCCCCAGCCGAATCAGAGATTTATTGCCGGAACAATTTCCGATTGCAATCAGATTATCACTGAGATGTACATGCCTTCATTACGAATAATGGATTTGATGTGTATAGGAAAGCTCAATAAAAAAATCCACAACTTTTTCTAAAAATTTAAGTTTCTACTGGAATCTTCTAGAATTTGCAGTTAAATTGGGATTCTATGAAATTATCAGTGCATTGTATATTCGATAGGAAAAAGTCAGTGAATTTTTACTTATCCGTTTGGTTCTTCTCGTTTTCGTAATAAAAAATAAATATGTGTACGCATGAAATCGAAGTCAAAGAAATGGCTAGTGGATATGTGGAATTGGAATTTCTCAAATTTTAATTTCTTCTTATTGAACTAGATTTCAATTTTCTAGCTTTTACCAATTCAAAAAAAAGCGCCAAACTTGCTGCGCCATGAAAGCGACGCAATGGTTCTCCAGCGCTAGGGCGAGACAATATGGAAAAAATATCGATTATAAAGGAATCGATCTACACGAATTCATCCGCATAGACAATCCATTGCCAAGAAAAAATAATTTGTTAATAATTAAAAAAAATGATTCAAATAAATTCAATGGAAAAAATAGGAGTTTAATATCTGATGGTAAATTTCATTTCTTCACTGACAAACAAACTGGGAGGATAATTAGATTAATTTTTTAAGAACTGAAATTGTTTTTATTCTCGGTTTTTCCATAGTTAAAAAATATCGAAAACCGAATAATCGAGAGTGGAAGTATCGAATAAGAAACATCGATTATCTCTGAAAACAACGGAAAACATCGGTCCCTTCGATTAATCGATGAACGTCGCCCATCCTTACTGCGCCAAGATGGTTGTTCGCCTGTGTGCACACGTCGGCTCGTTATGAGTGCTCCAAAAAATGGAAATTAATGAGTAATCCATCTGCCCCATTACAAAGCTATTGTAAACCTCGAAAAACAACTGGGATGGCAGTCTCGGTGTTTGCCTGTAATTTACCGGAAGTGTCGTTCGCTCCGAACATTTAGGTGAGTTGTTTTCTTGAAAGACGTGCACTTTGACACATTCTCCCTACGTGTTGAAAGTTCCCAATCGAAGCTCCAGCAGGGACATCAAAATTCATGGCTATCATCATCGAATCATCACACGCATTGTATGATAATGAGTGCGATACAGACCGGAAGTTTCAAGGCTGTGTGGACAGGCCAATGAATAAACCTCAATTCAGTCGACTCCAAATGCGCCCGTCCAACTGGTTTTCTAGTGCTACATTCTTTTCATCGCCCTGGAAAAACTCGTTTAATACGCAATATCGGTTTGTTACAGTGAAATGATCTGATATTTGGTGGTAATTGCCTTGAGACATGGCTCGCAGCCAGAAGTACGGCAACGAAACGCTGGATGCGTTGAACAAAGGCTGCTTGGATTCCTATGATGCTGTTGCCTGCGGTCGCATTAGTATTATCGTCGTTATCAGTGCAGTTACTTGTTTCTTTGCTGTCCTCAAGATTGTCAAGTATCATGCCTACAAGCATCCCCAGATGCACCACTACGTTATTTTCTATGTATCCGTCATCCAGTGTTTTGTCTGGTAAGTTGAACAGTGAAGCTCTTGAATTTATCTTTCTCATGAAAGAATGTCCCCTAGAATCTTTCCGATTTATTTCCTTAGGATAATAATTTGGTGGTGCTGTATTCATTTATATAATATTATTGTCCTCTCCACTAGATGCATTCGATTGCAATTTTTTGAATTTTCAGTGCTGCCAGTGCAGTATTTGGCATTCGGTACCTTCAGCTGGACTTTGCTCCGAGTTTTCTGAAGCTCCTCCAGTTCATCCTGATCTGTCATCTCCACTGGTCAGTGGCTGCCAGGTCCAGACACCGGGATGACATCGTTCAGCACGTCGTCAATCCTGTGCTGTGTTTGTACATGCTGTACTGTACCACTGTCGTTCTCATGGGAATGGTGGACATCAGTGGAACCTGGACAGAGTGCCTACGTGAGTTGAACAAAAATGAGAAAATATTGAAAGACCTTTTTTGACTGAAATTCAATGATCTGCCAAACATTGTTGTAATGTCTCTATCTTAATTCACTACTCGTTACGCAAAATCGATTTATTCAATAACGAATTCAAATCTTCTTGTGTCCTAGGTCCCTACTGGCTCATGCTATCAAGCGCAGACTTCCTAGCCGTCCAAGTGTTCGCAGTAGTGGCTCTGTACCTCACCCACAACAGTGAGCACGCTATATCAACCCTGATGTTACCAGCAGCGAATTCCCAGACTCGAGACCTCTGGCTCGTCACAGCTGTCTACGAAGTGTCAGCCGTCGTCTCAGTCGTCTTCGACGCAGTGATGTCGTTCATGGGACGAGAGGAGTCCGGATGCAGTGGAATCTACGGACACGTCCAGATATACTACAGTCTCGTGATGTCCACTGTTTTGGTGCTAAAGTACTTCCTCCCCACGTGGACAATTCTCTGCGTTTTCCAACCTTCAAGGGTCAAATCCAGACCTTCGGAGGTCGCTCTCACCTCCCACTATAATACCGATGGCACCTGCTACAATCAATACAGGAGAATGTTTTTTAATCAGAACGGGGGAAATCCCAGTAATCTTCAGTACCCAGCTATTCCTTATCCCTCGGATTCACCCATTTATGGGAGCTTCGGGGACTTTTCATACACTGACAGCTCACCAGACATCTCTCCTAGCATTGGTCAATACTGGCCTGGAATGGAAGATGATAATCAGGGGTCTTATGAGAAGCATTTTATGAGTGTTGGCAGGCAGAACCTCGAGACTCAGTATCGCATCGATCAAAATCGTCAGAATCTCGAGAAGAACCTGAAAATGCATGAGGAGGATAAAAAGAAGAATAATCTCACTACTATCAATGAGGAGACTGGTAACATGATGGAGAGTCCACGAGACTGACGAGCTTCTGGGGAATATCCAGATGGCTTATCTGTGGCAGCTAGATGCTCTCATATTCAAGGGATAAATCACTCACTTTCTCCATGAGTAAGATGATAAACAGGACTTTTCTGTGATCCCACTGACACCAATAATGCAAGTTTCTCTGGCCGTTTGTTTGATCTTTCTTTGGAAGGATTCGAGATACAGTAGGAGAAAACAACTGTTTGGCTGAAGATGTCATTGTTGCAAGAAAGTATTCTGTCCATTTTTTATAATCGTGAATTCTTATAATAAATTATTTAGCCGAAAATTTGGTAAAGTGAGGTAAGTGCAATTTTATAGACGTTCTTCGCTCGTTGGGATAAGAAAATTATTCATCACGGGATTTTAAACTTTTTTCATTAGCAAGAGAATATTTTCTTGGATCAATAAAATCTTAGTTATTAAAAACAGTTCATTTTTTCGGTACGTGTATCGGTAAGATGGCCTCATTATTATTTTCGCGAGTTCGAAGGTCAATTTTGTTACTGCGTACTATAAAATCAAAAAATTGGTAATTGGGCACTTTTCATGAATTCGCGATAAATTGATAGAAGGAGAATATTTCATTTTTTAATGGTACAATTAAAATGAATAGTGGATGAAGGAGAACATGAAATATATTAAACATTTCTTCGAAAGCCAAGGCTTTGAAATCTTGACTTCTTATCAAAATTAATTGGTATTAAAACTTCTGATTTTTGGAGCAAATATGAAGAAACTTTTGTTATCAAAGATTTGATAATGAGCTATAACAAAGTTCCTTAATATTTCCACTCAAATCAATAGTGTTTCCGATAAATCAGTAATTAACGAAAACGTAAGATTGAATTTATGAAGGATAGACCAATTTTTCATTGCATTAATGTATGGAGTCTTCATTTTGTCTGAAGCTCCTCTAATTCCATTTGTAACATTGCTCACAATCTTATGGAATTTTGAACAAGGTCATTTATCCAGATTAATCAATTGTTTATCATTCATGTACGATATAGATTAAAAGTGTGGATAGAAAATAAATACGTAAGACTGGAAGCAGTCGATGGCAATAGACGTAGGCTAATGCGTCATGCCAATTTCATAAGACTGTATTTGTGGATGTTCGCGTTAGAGTCAACGTCCTTGTTTATTGCAATATCTTTCGATAAGCTGAGAATTAAGGAAGTAGGTTTAATCCTTGTGAGTTGACCGAGAGTTATTTGTACTGAATTGGTAACGATTCGCCATTGGTTAAAGTATGGAGATGACAGAATTACTGGGTTTGCCGATGATAGGACATTGAAAGATTTAATGGGACGATGAAACCATCCTTCCAAATGCTGTGATGAGAGTTAATTAATTTATCGAATGAATTGAACATAGATTTATAGATATTTTATCTTCACTGATATTTCTCGCATTTTTCGGTTTCTCTGATTTGATGCGAACCAATTTTTAAACGAAGTCGAAGATATTGACACTGGAGAGTGGCGAATTAGTGCTTTCGGCTTTTTGACAACACTTATAATTCATTGAATAATTGAATTATGAGTGAAGGGGGATTTTTTCTGTGAAAAGTAAGAGGAATAGAACAAGGCGAAAGTGCTCTACTCTCGTTAGTTTAGGTATACTATTCAGTAAAGAAGTGGAATGTCACAGTTTCGTTAAAAATCAATTGATCTAAAAAGAACAACTGGTTTTAGGAGGAAAAATTAAAAGACTTATTACCGAAAATTTAATGACCTACAAAAAACTCGTTTATTGTATTCCGAGGAAAAGTCCCGAATAACTCAATTCGTGTGTTCATTATTTTCGGCATTTAAACGTCATACAATAAAATATCATTACGGATAAATTGGTAACAGTTATTTTGAACAAATATTGAAAATAACGTTCACCAATCATTGATATACTATTAGTACTTCCTTCTCAAATCGATTGTTTTGAATATATGTCGACAACTAAGAAAATTGTTAATTTACGATTGTCTCATTTCTCCATTTCGCTACTGAATAGAAATTCTCATTAATACTCAGTTTGCATCTTCACTCAAGATATTCGCTGTAGTTTTAAGAATCACTTGTCAGTGATGAGTGATAATCTCGTTATTGTAGTGAATATTTACAACGAAGTTAATCTCAGTAGAGAATTCATAAGAATCAGCTACGACACATCACATGTGTGACAGTTCTATACGATTTGAGGAACATTCTGGTGCATTTTAAAGTCTGGAATGCTCTCTTTTAAGAGTACAGGAACAGCCATTTTATTTTACTCAGGGGAAAACCAGTGAGAAGCTTCAGGACATGATTAATATCTGGTTCCCCTTGTATTTTCCACTCATGTGAGTGATGATATTCACGTGTCATGCGAATTTTTTAATAAGACAATGTGCCAAAATTATCGGTATTGATTCCGATATCTCTCGAGAGAATGCGGAACGAAATTGACTTCACTTTGCATTTCGTATTTTTAATCACAAGATTGGTCTATTTTTTCTTAACTATTTAGATTACTTTTAATGCAATCAGTGCATCACATGTGTAGTCAAACAATTTTGTAAATATAATTTCGACGATAATTGCAGTTATATTCAGATGCTATTTTATGTACAGCAGACTCTCGTTACAGTCGCCTGTATGGGGTTGAAGGGTAAGCTAATTCGAATACGAGGAGAATTTATTTTTCGGCTTTATTTTCCCCGCAATTCAAATCCTCGCCGGACGAAACAATGGATTGCTTACATCTTGGAGCCCCGAGTTACTAGAATGAGCAAAGAAAGAAATGCGATAAAAGAAATGGATAAGAGGTGCGACTATAACGGAGTTCTACTGTAATTATATTTCGTTAGAGGAACCACTGATATTTTGGAGTTTCTGTACATGTAGGACAATTAATAGACGCACTCCATCTGCATAAATGTTTTGTTTGTACTCATAATTTGTACATAAATCTTCGTAAGAATTTAATAAACATATATTGCACGGTAGACTACATTTAATTCGAAATGTAATTCATGGAAGTTATTGTATCTACATACATACGTACACAGTTTTTCAATTGTTTATTTTTAAAATGAATTTAATTAATTTTGAGTTAATAAATCAATAATTATTTTAATGACTTTTATATTATGTTTTCAAAAAAATAACTCTATGATTTTTCATGAATGTAAAGTTGAATAAATTCTATCCATCAATACCAGTTTTAAAAAACTGATATTAATACACTGATCGTATTAGAATATGACTTGTTTTATAGAAGTGTAATTGCATTATTCATCCAGTGAGAAACATCTAGAATGCATTCAACCCATCGCCTTATCGGAATTAACTCGAAGGGGAGCAATTGTTATTTTCTCATGATTACGTACTTGGCATAATCATTTTTTTGTGATTGTACAAGTACAAACATCGAAAGACGCTTAATTCATCCTTCGGGATTTGAGATATTCCCATTCGCAAATTTCTTTCATTTTCATAGAAAATAAACGAATTCGCTCGTGTTCAGACACATGGCGAATGCCGATAGTAAAGACTCATTAATATGCGAATGAATAATATTAATCGGTTGAGTTGGAGAAATAAAAGGCAGAAGAAATTTATTCAAATAAACTCAGAGGCATTGAATTTAAGTCGATGTACATCGATTTTGACACGTGCGGACAGAAATACAAGATTTAATTCCTTTGTTAATTCGATTTACGCTGTTGAAAATTTTTGTCGTGTTGTGAAGTTAATGGTTTATAAATTGCATTTAATGACATTTTGAAAAGTTAGAATTTCGTGGAAAAAACAAAGAGGATTGTCAATTTTCTTTCCAAATTAAAAAATAGATAAATAGAAAACCAGACATTTCCGGCAAGTATATTCTTGAATTTTTACGAGTGACATTGAACGTGACTGCGAATTCATCATACCATTTCAGATATTACTTAAAACTAAAGGGGAGTTGACAGTGAATATTCATATCCGATTGGAAATTCTAATAAGTTGAAAAATTCTTGTTTTCATGTCGCACTTTACAATTACAACATTTTATTGAATTTTGCGTGAAACCTGGAATTTCATAATTTCGAACCCGATATCAGATTCAGAGTCAATGTCCTGAGAGCTGATAGGCATAAGCCCATGAAATTCCATTTTTTTTTTCAGCAGTGTCGCTTTGATCGAATGTAGACGAGTAATTGCTACTCCAAGCACGTGGTGATTAACTCGAATTATCGAAATTTTTATCAAACATGACGAGTTCACTATCATATCAACGCTTTCGAAAATTTAGTCATTATCTCATTGCCGAATGATAACTACACACAATATTTGGGTTACATCACTTCTATGAAAGTATTGAGAACGAAAATAATTTTTTTCCTTAAAAGGGTCTAAACGTCTCAGTAAAAATCGGATGATCTATTTAAATCCCTTTCATCAATAGCCTATAAGATATCCTGCATTACTCTGATTAATTATCATTTTATTATTAATTTCCCTTCTCAAAAGTTTTTACATAAATATAAAATATGGATTTGTGAAAAATCCAATCGTTCTACCAATTCCATAATATAAAAATAAATAAATATACATAAGAAAGCGAAAAATTTCCAATTCGATCATCCAATGTAATAATAAAAAATGTCAAACCCATAAAGAGAAGTGGAAAGCCCCATCGTGCGATATTCAATCATACGTCACCTCTAGCATTTTAGAGTACCAAGAAAATATTTATCCAACCCCAAGAATAACAACCCATGTTTTTCACAAGAGCCACATGATGCATTTGCCCCACTTAAAAAGGGGGGAAACATCCAACAATACTTCTCCAATATATCGATAACCACTCATTATCATTCCCACAATTTTTTCTATTTAATTATAACATAATCAGTGTACACCTCCCGCCCCACCCCCTTTCGCAATGGGGCATTGATTCAGGCATCCCTTCTCCCGCAATTTTTTTTTTCTCGTCGCAATAATATATTTGCACAATACCCTATCTCTCATACGTCAAACAAGCCCATGTTCTCAAATTATCCCGAGTGGGGATTAACCCGCCACCCATTTAACATTGATTGGACAAGAATTATCTATCCGAGTGCTTCTAATTATCGAATGCTCAGCTCAGCAGTAACACAATAGATACATATCCTCTATTTTTTTTCAATTATCCCTATCTCTCTCGAATCATTAATCTGCTCTATCCCCCCTCTGCCCACCAAGACTGATAAATAAAAGATTGACCGGCACTCGATTCAAATTCATTATTCGACCAACAACGGGAGGAAAATTGACACAAGTGCCCTCGACTCCGGTCCCGTTCATTCGTGGTTCCTATTCTTTTATTACAAAGTGTTACCCGTATTAAATATAAGACAAACCGAAATTGCAAATTGCTGATTAACGAATTGCTGATAAATAACTGAAAAAAAAAACAATAGGACACTATAAAATATTTAAATAGTCACATCGTTTTTCTGTTACATTATTATTTCTCCGACAAACTTTTAAAATTCTTGAATTCATTCGGGTAATCAGCGCAAGTTAGTTACGTATTATTCTTGTGGTTATTATTGTTGTTATTGAAGTGTAGTGTATACTTTGACACTGGTTTTTACCTCCATTTAATACTTTTTAAAGAGATAAGGATGGTTCATGCGATGCGTAAGGTAGGTGCAGAAATTTTAATAAAACGTGGAGTTTTATTATGGGGTGTTTTTGAACCGACGGGGCTGAACTCGCGCCTGAAACGGCGGGTTTTTTAAATCCAAACCCAACCTCCACTACATGATACTGAAGATTGTGGAGGTTGGGATCGTTTTAATGGTTGCAATAACGGGTTATTTTTTTTTTTTGTGAATTTCGGGTTAATCTCCCAAGAGTGATAGAGTGCGGGGGCACCCAACCCCCCATGATCGTATGATCGTATGAGATCGTATGGAATTTGTGGTGGCAAGTGGTGGATATCCTCTGATCGAGTGCTCCACGTGCTCCGAAAAGAAGTGTGAAGTGGGGAAGGGATTCGTGAGTTCGCACATGCAAAAATTAAGATGTTTAACTCAACTTAATTCAACTTTAATCACGCGATTAACTTACCGAAAAACTGGGCCAAGGTTTCTGAGGAAAATTAGACAGCCGTGGTTGTGATGTAAAGACGAAGGTTTTCAGTTTATTTATCTGAAAGGCATGTGTTTACATCAGGTATATAAATCGGGTGTCGAGTGTGTAAATATAAATATCTTCTGATTTGAAAGGTTCAAGAATTGTCCCAAAATTGTACGAGCGATAAGAATTGCGATGTCTTTGGTCGAGTAGAATATTCGCGACGAAATCTAAGTAATGATTTTTGGAATAATATTTTATTTAGGGCGCATCATTTGTCATTTTTGCGTTTGAAACTCGTGAGGATAATTTTCCAATCTTTTTGCCGTAGTAATTTTAGTGGTCTCTTATAATAAAATTGTTAAAAGATGAAAATCGAGGAATATGAAAATCAAACAGGTATTCGCTGAAATTGAAAAATTCTAATTTTTTGACAAAGTATCGGGGGAACATCACAATCGAGGAGGTATTCGCTAAAATGGAAAAATTCGGTATTTTTGAAAAACTATCAGGGGACCATGACAATTGAAGAGGTAGTCGCTGAAATGGAAAAATTCGGAATTTTTGAAAAAGTATTAGGAGAACATGACAATCGAAGAGGTATTCGCTGAAATTGAAAAATTCGGAATTTTTGAAAAAGTATCAGGGTACCATGACAATCGACGAGGTAGTCGCTGAAATTTAAAAATTCGGAATTTTTGAAAAAGTATCAGGGGAACATAACAATCGAAGAGGTATTCGCTGAAATTGAAAAATTCGGAATTTTCGAAAACGTATCAGGAGAACATGACAATCGAAGAGGTATTCGCTGAAATAGAAAAATTCGAAATTTTTGAAAAAGTATCAGGAGAACATAACAATCGTAGAGGTACTCACTGAAATTGAGAAATTCGAAATTTTTGAAAAAGTATCAGGGGAACATGACGGTCGGAGACGTATTCGCTGAAATTGAAAAATTCGAAATTTCTGAAAAAGTATCAGGGGACTATGACAATCGAAGAGGTAGTCGCTGAAATTGAAGAATTCGGAATTGTTGAAAAAGTATCAGGAGAACATGACAATCGAGGAGGTATTCGCTGAAACTGAAAAATTCGAAATTTTCAAAAATGTATCAGGAGAATATGACAATCGTAGAGGTATTCACTGAAATCGAAAAATTCGAAATTTTCAAAAAAGTATCAGAAGAACATAACAATCATAGAGGTATTCGCTGAAATTGAAAAATTCGGAATTTTCAAAAAAGTATCAGGGGAACATAAAAATCGAGGAGATACTCACTGAAATTTTTACATTCTATGCCAAAAAATACTTGGAAACTATTGCAAAAAAAATTCGCCACGTATCATCAGATAATGAACTGTATAGTTTTTATTTCACAGCTCTTAGTTCGAGGAAGTCTTTTGAAGCAGATCCATAAAAATGTCAGATACAGTTCATCGCTGAAGATCCTAGACCAGGAGGTGCTTCAGGGAGAACTAGAAGCAGAACGTTCTTTCAAAGTATATTCATCTTCACCTGTTCAAACGGCGACGTATCACTCCGCGGTGTAATCTATTCATACCAAAATGTTTCGCATTTCAGTATTCAGACATTGCAGTGAGACTGGCACCTCCGCACCTGCTCCAACCAAAACCAAATGTCAGTGATCTCCGTTTCGGAAAATACTTTACAGACCACATGTTCAAGGTTTACTATCACGAGGCACTGGGGGGGTGGCAAACCCCTGAGATCACACCTCTCGAAAATTTAGTCTTTCACCCTGCGGCTAAAGTGCTTCATTACGCCATCGAAGTGAGTCGAACAAAACAATCTAAAAAAATGGAGAATACTAATTTTTTATCGCAATTTTGTAATAAAAGGAGTTGAAAACATTTTCAATAAACTGGAATATTTTCTAAAAAACTGTTAGTTTTATGTATGTCCATAATCTAGCGAGGGCTGGGTACGAAAAAAATCGGGAATGTTATGTCTTACAATTATCGATTAATTGTATAAGGAGCAATGCGTGGGGACTGTTCTTATTTAATGCAGTTTCTTTGTTTATATTTTCATCGTTATTTTAGCATATATTCTAATATACTAAAGTGTTAATCAAATGAATACATATACTGAAATAAACTAATATTATTCGAGAAAGCGGGAGATATGAAAAACGTGAAAACTGCCAAAGGGCATAAACATTGAAATAAATTTCCAAAACAATGAGAGTGGATATGATTATGCACTGAAAAAATGAAGAATACTGACAACCGAATGTTGACCTATTGTTTCTAGGCTTTTGAAGGGATGAAAGCCTACCGAGGAATCGACGGAAAGATCCGTTTGTTCCGTCCAGAATTGAACATGGCACGTATGAATGCATCGGCTCGTCGAATGGGCTTGCCAGGTTTTAGCAGCATCGAGTTCATAAAATGTTGCACCAGACTAATTGGTATAGACCAGGAATGGGTGCCCCATTCAGAGGCCTCCAGTCTCTACATAAGGCCAACGATAGTCGGCATCGACGTAAGTCGCAAAATGAGTATCAAGGGAAAGTCATCTCGCAATCACTCAAACAATATATTGCAAATGAACAAAGGTTGAGGGAGATAATCGTATTTTTCAGTTTCTCGAAACGATTGAACGCTCAATCAATCATGGAATTGTCTCATTCCCTGGCTTTTTAACCCCTCACACAACCAATTCCCATTTTGAAAAACATTTAATGCTTTCTGGCACTATTTCCAATCCGTCCATTTTTTTTTACATTTTATCGATAATTTTTATCTATTAACCCTCATTTATCGGAGCTTACTCAAATATTTAAAAAAAAATCGGCGCACAAGTAAAATAAAGTTTTGAATAATTTTTTTTAAATTACAATTATTCCCACATAATTATTATATATATATTAAATTACACCCACATAATTTACAAATTTTTATATTTAATATTTTTACAGTTAGATAAATTGATCTTTAACGATTCTATCATCTTCATGGACGCGCTAATTGCAAATAAACTCATCAAATTAAAAGTGATATTGCATCGTTAATGAGGATTTCTTATCATTCTCGACGTTTAACAAAGACGTAACCTTAGCGAAAGCTTATTATCTCATTTATTTCCCTTTTTTGTTCTTCGATTACATTGTGAGTTCATCTCTCGAGTTATCTGGGGTATCCACAGTTGTCTCATGAAGCGAAAACATTCAAGATACTGCAATTGTATAATAGAGGAATCATACAGAGAATCGTATTTGGTTTAGAAAAATTATTATTTCTTCCGAAAATAATATGAATCGCGTGAATTCAATGAAACATGGAAAACTTCCCCCATTCTCGAGTTATTATCACTTCCGGTGAATAATTGACTATTTGTATGTACTTCGTATATTTGTGCTATCTATTTATTTTATTTTCTACTCGCCTTATCAACCTAACTTCATAAACTGAGAATTTTCATCATCTTCTGTTGTGCCATCGACGTATTGGTCTTAGAAAAAAAAATTCATGCATCGGCATTTTTTTTCTTCTAGAAGTGAATGAGATTCCACAAATTCTCGTAACATCTATTTTTTTAAATAAATTAGTATACATGGTGCAGCATGTACATCGAGAAGAAAATTTATTAATTAATAAGAAAATATATTAATTTTCTTTTATTAAATATTTACTGGTAGGACGTGAATATATTCGGCAAAAATATTTTTTTCGCACTGTATGTGTCGACTTGGTGAATTAATAAATCGATGAATAAAAAAAAATAAATTCTACGTATTCCAATTTAATCTACCGATATCGATGTAGTATCTCAAATTATTATCCATTCTAATTCTCAATATTGTATAATCCATTTCACCTTATAATCATGAAGTTCTGAACATGTGTAATCTTTCTTTCGAGTTAATTTCTAAAGTTCTTTATATCACTATTTTTGCACATCGTATCATTCACTGAATGATCACGAGATGTTCATTCTTCGAAGATAGCAAAAATGAAAAATAAATGTTTTGGTCTTTGATGTTGACAGCCGACCCTGGGAGTTTCTTCATCAGAATCAGCACTTCTTTACGTAATTCTCTGCCCTGTGGGATCTTACTTCGCCGGGGAAAAAAGAACAGAAGGAGTTTCATTGCTAGCTGACCCTAGGTACACGAGGGCATGGCCAGGAGGGTGTGGAGATCGAAAAGTCGGCAGTAATTACGCACCTACAATTAGGGTGCAGAAGGAAGCTGCTGAGAAGGGACTACAGCAGGTGCTCTGGCTCTATGGGGAGGATCACCAGGTTACAGAAGTTGGAACCATGAATATTTTCATGTTTCATATTAATGAGGATGGAGGTGAGCATAATCTCGAGATTATCCAAGTATTTTAATTCAATACTAACATAAAAATATAGAAAATAAAAATTAATAAAAGCGATAGCGATGTTAAAGGGACCCTCCCAATAAAATCTACGGGGTTGAATTTCGTTTTTTTTTCTGGAGCAATAAAAAAATGGAGTGAATAAAAACGGAATTATCAATAATTGGATTATTTTTCGTTCTGTAAATTTACGATGGTTACTTTAAAATAATCAAATCATTGTCTAATCACTTTGCAGAAAAACAATTAGTAACTCCTCCACTAGACGGTTTGATTCTCCCAGGCATCACCAGGTCTTCGATATTGGAACTCGCTCGGGATATAAACGAATTCAAAATAACAGAGAGAACCATTACGATGGAAGAAGTTTGTCGATTAGTTGCAGAAAATAGAGTGAGTCAAATAAAAATAAATCGGTAAATAGAATTATAGGAATGCGCGTCTGATAATCTTTGGGTTCGATTTATGTAGTTATTGGAGTTGTTTGGGGCTGGGACAGCCTGCGTTGTGAGCCCAATTTCCTACATCGAATACATGGGACAAGGTCTCCACATCCCCACGTGTGATCAACCTGAACCTCTCTATAAAAAATTCCTGAAGACTCTTCTTGACATCCAGTATGGTTACGTACCAGGTCACCCTTGGACGTGGGAAATTGACTGATAAACTCATTTCTCTTAATACTAACGTGGAATTAATATCAATGTATGACGAAATTCGATCGAAAAACCTTCCTTAAAAAATGTTATTAAATTTCTACGGTTGAATTTTTATCTTCCTACGATTCTGTGGAGCCGCGACGATTTTGTTGTAGTTCCATTAAAAGTTTAATTTTAATTTATTTTTTGCATCAATTTTATTTCACGGAAAAGTTCAATAAATTTTAACTCATCTTTTTTTATAAAATTCAAAAAACGGTAGAAATTCAATGAAATTTCTTGAAGACAAAGAGGGTTTTTTTAAATAAAATTCAATCATATGCCAATGAAAACGACGCCGAACATCACATGTAAATGCTATCATCATGTATCATATATTGTTCATAGATACCAGAGAGTGTCATGATTCATTTTTGTATTATTTATTGTTAGTGAAACACTCATTACTTCCAGTTTTCTCAAGACATGTACATAGTTGACCGAATCTCTGGAGATTTTTGTAAATACTTTAAATTCTCAATTGATATAGCTCTAGTGTTCGCCGGTTTCTATAAGTGCCAATTTTACAAGATTGCAGGTCTGCGATAAATGAAGCAGTTTAACTACAGTACAGTACAGTAGAGTTTAACTGTACATTTGAAAATTGGTATTTCTGGAAATAAGTCTATTTTTAATTTATCGAGATCCCTTGCTGACTGCGAAAATACATCATTTTTTATAAAAAAATTTCGTCTTAATGTCTTAAAAAATTCCTAGTATCATTCTCTTACTCCTCATTCTGGCATTTATCACTCTGAATTTCCATGTGAATGCAATGCAAATGAGAATAGAAAAGGAAAAAAATGTATAATAAATTATATATAAAAAACGCTCTGGGATTTGTTTATACGTACAATCTGTTCGATTGACCACTGAAGATTCCTCGAATGAAATGATTCTTCCGATCTCCAGATTCCATCCATAAAATCCCGCCACAATGGTAGTAGACGCTCAGTTCTAGGGGTTTGAGTGACACCAGCGGCATCGTAATACTGCACCCCAAGAGAGGGAGGGCGCCACACGCAATGGGGGTGTCGTCCCATCAACCGACTCGGTAACTGCCTCACTAGCAGTCCCGCTGTCAGAGGGACCAGTCAACTGGGTGAATTTTATTTTAAAAATGTGTTACGAAATTGGTATTCACTGAAATTGAAAAATGAAAAATTTTCAAAAAAGTATCAAAGGAGCATAAAAATGGAGGAAGTATTCACTCACATTCGAAAGTTCGAAATTTTTCGAAAAAGTATCAGGGGAGCATGGAAATTGAGGAGGCATTCACTGAAATTGAAAAATTTTAAATTTTCAGAAGAGTATCAGGGAAGCATGAAAATCGAGGAGGTATTCACTGAAATTCGAAATTTCGAAATTTTTCGAAAAAGTATCAGAGGAGCATGGAAATCGAGGAGGTATTCACTGAAATTTCGAAAAGTATCAGGGGAGCATGAAAATCGAGGAGGTATTCAGTGAAATTAAAAAATTTCAAATTTTCAGAAAATAAAATCCACCCAATCGACTGTTCCCTCTGACAGCGGGACTGCTACTGAGCAGTTACCGAGTCGGCTGACGTGCAGACACCCCACCATTGGGGGCGGCCCCCACTTTCTCTTGGGGTGAGGTGACCCCACCGGCGCTGTAGTACCCCACCCCAAGAGAAAGTGGGGGCCGCACCCAATGGTGGGGTCTACCCGTCAGCTGACTCAGTGACTCACTGTCAGTCAGTGATGCCAGACGAGGGTAAGTCCCACGCGTGGGATTTTCGTGCGCATCTTTCTCGCGCACCCTGTAGGTCCCCACTACTGTGCTAGCGCAAAGGCCATGCGCCAAGCAAGGAATGCGCTAACGGCTGCGCACTAGAACGCAACCGAGGAGTGGGGACTAGAGGGACTCTTGTCTGGCATCGCTGGCCTCAGTAGTAGTCTCGCTGTCAGACGGGCCACTCGACAGCGTGAATTTTATTTTCTGCGTTACAAAATTGGTATTCACTGAAATTTTAAAATTTCATTGAGTCAATTAAATTTTTTGCCCCCATGTGACCCTTAACCGGGGTATTCACTGAAGTTGCCAAATTCAAAATTTCAGTGAATACCTCCTCGGGCTTCTCCCGATACTTTTTGGTTAAGGTTTACATGGGGGCTAAACATTTAAGTGACTACATACAATTTTCAATTTCAGTGAATATCAATTTCGTAACGCAGAAAATAACACTCACCCTGTCGACTGGTTTCTCTGACAGCGGGATTGCTACTGAGGCAGTTACCGAGTCGGTTGACGGGCAGACACCCCCATTGCGTGTGGCGCCCTCCCTCTCTTGGGGTGCAATACTACGATGCCGCTGAGATCACTGCAACCACCAGAACTGTGCCTCTACCTTAGTCAATCCTCTTTGACCATACATTTGTAGAATCAAACGACCTTACGTCACAGAGGACATTGAAAAAGGTCAATTCAAATGCCTGGATAGTATATGAAATCTTCGCGCCGAGGTCGTCCATTGAAAATGGCGCAGATGGTGAGGTGTAGAGTCGGCCTGTTATCATTGAGATCTCTAAAAAATCCAGTGTCACGTATTATTCTCCCAGAGAAATACCAGAGATTATGTTTTCACACGAGTTGGTTACTGAATGGTGAGTTAATTATCATCTTATTCCCTGTCTTATCAAAATGAATGACCTGCAGAGGTTAGACTCGTGATTGGAGCAATCACTATTTATTAATTCCTCTGTTCCCACTCTGCAAGTCGTCTGATAAATTTTCAAATCGTTCTTCGACATCTTCAATTATTTATCCCATCCCCTGAACAATACAAAACCTGCTGTTTGATAAATTGTAATCGTTATGCAACCAGGTGTCAAAATCCTCAGATCATCATGTCAGATTTATTGAAGTCAGATAGTTGCCTGCAAATTTTGTTGATGATTTTTTAGTCAAGGGGAAAGAGGTGCTGATGCCCTCTCTTTCTCCAACCATGGAGACGGGGACAATCGTCAAGTGGATGAAGAAAGAGGGTGACCCGATTCAGCCAGGAGATGCACTGGCTGACATACAGACTGATAAAGCTGTCATGACGTTTGAAATGGACGATGAGGGTACCCTTGCAAAAATTGTCGTACCTGAGGGCACCAAAGACATCAAGGTGGGAACCCTCATTGCCCTCACTGTCGAACCTGACGAGGACTGGAAGAGCGTGGAAATGCCTGGGGGCACTGCAGTATCTGCACCTACTCCGTCAGCCCCTTCTGCTGGAGCTGCTCCTGTCCAAGAGGCAGAACCACCTGCTGGACAGTATGTCGAAGATTCGTTGTTTTATTTCTTTTTGTTTTTGATTAAAATTTTGCAGGGAAATTGTGAAGTCGAACAAGTCGACCTGGACAGTTTTGTTTTTCAATTCTAGAGTGAATGTTGCAATGCCAGCATTATCTCCAACCATGACATCAGGAACGATCGTCAAGTGGTTGAAGAAGGAGGGAGATGAAATATCCCCTGGTGATGCCATCGCAGATATTCAAACAGATAAGGCGGTAATGACATTTGAGATGGACGAAGAAGCCGTTCTTGCGAAAATTCTGGTGTGTAATGCCCTCCAAACTCTTGCTCCACATTAATTTCAGAATTAACCACCACTCAAATCGTCAAAGATTCAGTATAACTTACTATAAACTACAAACGACTCCTCTAGGTTGAAGAGGGATCCCAGGTGGAGGTGGGACAGTTGATAGCAGTGACAGTAGAGAGAGGAATGGATCCAAAATCCATCGTCATCCCCACAGCCACGAAACCTTCGGCAAAACCCACAGCTTCAGCATCGAAACCTGCAGGTTCCCCTGCTGCTTCCTCTAAGGTCTCTTCTCCCTCAGCTGGTAGTCAACCACCTCCCAGTGGACAGGTGTATGGACTGGCTGTGAAACGATTACTGGAGGAGTACGGACTCAGCTCTGGATCTGTCAAGGGCACTGGCAGGCCCAATCGTCTCCTCAAAAGTGATGTGCTTTCATATATTCAACAGAATAATCTTCAGCGAGTAGAGCCAGGGGCTGCAGCAGCACCTGCGAAAGCAGGAGCTCCTAGTACTCCTTCAGCACAGCCCAGAGTCTCAGCTCCACGAAAATCAGGGCCCTCAACTTACAGAGATCTCGAAATATCGAACATCAGAGCAGTTATTGCTAAACGACTTGGAGAGTCTAAGGTAATACAATAAAATCTACATTTCTTTCATTTTTCTTTTATTTTTTTTAGCTTGAGCTCAATCATCGGCTAGTTAAATTATCAAAATGAAAGATTTCGTCTTCTTGGAGAGAGCTTGTTTTTTTTTTCTGCAATTAATGCTGATAAATTGAGATTAATCTGTGAACTCAATAGTAAAATGCTGAAATGATAAAGTCAAATTTTATTTCATTACTGAAAGATTCGTATATATTCGTAATAATAATACTTAATAATTCAGAAATTCACGAAATAAAACGAACTCTCGATTTTACCAGCGCGACATTCCTCATTCGTACGCAACAGTCGATGTGAGAATCGACAAACTCACCGAAACACGTGAATCGCTCAAATCCGAAGGCATCAAAGTCTCTGTCAACGATTTTGTCACGAAAGCTGTGGCTCATGCTCTTCTCCAATGTCCTGACATCAATAGTTTATACAAAAACGGACAGGTTAGAGCGAAAACACGTTCTCTTGGAGTGACCAATTGCAAAAATAATTATGGCTGTTGCTTTTAGACAGTGAGAATGCAGAATATCGATGTATGTGTGGCGGCCTCAACCCCCGCAGGGCTCATCACGCCAATTGTATTTAATACTGTCAGTAAAAGCTTGAGTGACATCTCCAAAGACATCAGAACACTCGTCGGTAAGGCGAGCGAGGGTACTCTAAAGCCTAATGAAATCCAGGGCGGAACTTTCACGTTAGTTTTTTATTTTTTATTTCAAGAAATTCTCATTCGAGAGCACACGCTTTAATTCATTTCCATTTTAGGATATCGAATCTAGGGATGCTTGGGATTAAAGAGTTTTCGGCTATAATAAATCCTCCACAGACTGCCATTCTCGCTGTGGGAACTGGTCGTGAAGTTCTGGGTAATAATAATAATGTTTTAATAATCCAATAATAATAATGTTTTACTATCTTGAAAGAATCCATTACAGTTCGATGGAGCTGTCATGTATTATGAATTTCTAACATGTCAACTTCGTTTTTCAATATTTACTTTATAATGGACGCAGTCCCTGATGTGTTGAATACAACAGATGTGGAGATTGGTAAGAGGAAACATTAAACTCTTTGCACTGATAAATTCATAATACATGAGTAATCGCACCTAGTTGTGGGGAGAGGCTATCGTTCCAGTATTATTGCCTTTGAATGGAAGCATTGAATTTGACAAATCCCCAATTTCCAGGCGACTCGTTTTAACTCTTTTCATTTTGACTGAGGTAGCGAATTAGTGTTGATTCCATTATTTGCTAAACTTATAGCCTCCAAGAGAATTCAATGAACGTTTAAGCACTGATTAATCTTGATTTAATCAGGGTTCAATTAGATCTTTATGAAGTTTTCCAGGGATGTATTAAAAATGATATAAAAATTCCATTTCAAAGAGATTCTCATTAAAACTCCATTCAGAAGCAATTTATTGATTTATTGTGATGCAAAAAGAAAAATTAGTCATTCTTTTTTTCATTTTTGTTCTTGGACAGACACTGCACTCAGAAGGGTATCGCTAATGAGTACGACTTTGTCGTACGACAGTCGAGCCATTGATGAGGATCAGGCTGGGGATTTCTTGGCGGTTCTCAGGTCCATTCTGGAGGATCCAGCATTGCTCACTGTGGGGAGGGGTCAACAAGCTATGAGACACCGGCGTTAGATATCAGTACGTATTTTTCAATATTCGAAACTCATTCCTCTAACACAATTACAACGATAACTCTCAAACCTATGTTTTAAAATAATGCTTCAAAATTTGAATTGAATACGTTTTTATTATCAAACTTGTTAATTCGAATTACTTTTTGCGTCACATATTATTCTTTCCTCGTTTGCTGATACATTAATTATTGAAATTGATTTTCTCGCGCAATACAAAGAAATAAACGAGTGATTTCTCAATTAAATTATTGCAGAAATTTAATTGGACTCGTGCCATACTGCCAAGTGTGATCGGACCGACGAACAAAGTGTTCATGATCCAAAGACCGAGAGAAAGAGAAAACGATCTTGAGGATTTCTCCGATAGAGCCCTTAGGCTCAGAATATTAGAATGCAAAAAAAAATCATTCAGCACACTGCATAATTCGGTAATATTAATTTGCACACTAGGGCAATATTGAATGATATCTATTTGAGCTGCTGTATAAAACAAAATTAACCGGGAAATTGATATTCCCTGGCACATGTGGGGAATAACTAACTAGAGTGGAATCATTGGCTCCGTCAATGTAATTGTAAATAAACTATTTATTGACCCACAACCTTGCCCGAATTATTTTTTCATTGTCACGACTATTGCCTCCTCCAGCCTCGGATAAATTACGAGAATTTAGAATTTCCCTGTTAAGCAATCAACAGATGTTACGTATAATTTTTTTTTTCCTCTTCCGGAGCCACCAATAGATAACATATCACTGGTCGGAATTCAAAAGCTTTTTCCACTGATACAATTATTCCTACTTGATGATAAATAAAAATTCAAACGTCGAAAGAATATTTCAATCGATAAAAATAGCTATTTCTTTCCGTTACGTTTGATGATTTTCGAATGGAAATCCGTCGCTTATCTCGATTAATTCACACGTCACAGACCATTACCGTGTGTTACACGTCATGCGACACAGCCAGTGAGGAAGAGGGCCGTATTGCATTCCAATTGAATATCTCTCCACGTTTATTCCTTCCTTCAACGACTTATTTTTAGCACCTCACTCTCTCATTCTCCAAATTGCTCCCTTGAATCTGATAACTCCTGTTTCTTATTCTTGATTTTCAAAGGAATGAATAAAGATACAGTCTAATCTCCATATAAGATACTAATTCGTAATTAGTGTCAAGTCATTCCCTCACTCTTCGTACACTCTACTTAATAGGTGCAATAAAATGAAAATTGAGCGAAAAGATTAAAGAGAATATTGCAACTTATTCAATTAAGATGAAATTGAATAGATATTGATGACAATTGGCAAATAACAGTGTATATTTCAGCCATAAAATTGCAACTTTGAATTTCCCAAATTAATCAATCAATTGCATACTGAAAATCGAATGACAAATTGCCTTGTATCTTATACAAAGACTCGACTATAATTAGTAGCAAAAGCAGAAGTCTTTTTATCATTAAAATTCCGGTATAATTCAATACAAATCGTCTCAGCAATATATACATACAATTTAAGTCGTTTCACACGTAGTTGTATTAAAATTTGAGCAGTACGATGCTCTAGGCACGAGGCTGGATAATTCAATACATTTAGTATAAAATGGATACATTTTTTTTTCATTTACAATTAGTGATGATGTCTTATTTTCCTAATTAATCACCAATTCCCTTCGAACTGTTTATCCTTCATATAAAAAATACAGCACACTTGTTGCGTTTGGTCCTTTCATCACAATTAATACTCTGACTTGATACCATTGCCCCCCTAATTTTGGAAGTCTTAATCTCGTGGGTGAGAAGTGTAATTCGTATCATTAGCAATGAGCATTAGGCCCCTCGGACAAGAGTAATCCGTCCCCGGAATGTTTAGAGTGTACAAAATTTATTCTTTGTAGATAGAATTGGAAAAGTCACTCCATTATCATAAGTACAAGACTTAATCGGTGATATGTGATCTGATATACAAATTAATCTCGTGAAAAATATGATTCTGTGAAGAGAGAGTTAAATTGCTTATAATTTTGGGCATAAAAAAAATGAGATAGTATTAATTTCATTTATATTTCTCTCGTCATTTTTTTTTCTTTGTACCCGCAATGATCTTTCTACTGTCCAACATCATTGATGACACATTATATACACTGATAAGGCTTAACGCTATTACGAATCCCATTTTTCTCTTTGCAATATGATATCTCAATAGCGAAGTAATCAAGTGAGCTAATTCCAATTTTAATTTTGTTAAACGTCGATTGATCGTAAACCTATTCATTTTGGGATTCAATATCAACTTTTTTGTTCAAAATTTCCCCAGCTATAAAAAAGTCATATAAAGCTTTCACCGTAAATCGCAAATAACTTTTTATATACTTTATTATATTATTCTTATGCCTTGGGAAAAAAATACTGAATATTTAATTCTAAAACGAATGATTATCGACTTGAAATGCCCCTCATTACGTTGCAACACTACTATTAATTTCAATTTTAATTGCCCATGTGTCTCATCACCCCAAAGACTCACCAAAACAGAGTTAATGAAAAATATTCCCGCTGAGAAACAGAACACGCTTCTTCTTGAGAACACCGTCAAAGTCTCCGAGTCTCTCCCAAAAACGCCTTTTGCCCCGTAAAATTTAAAATACTTTTTGCAACCGCGCCTGGGCGGCCTCGATGAGTCTCCTGAGGCTAGACAGCTCAGCGCATTTATCTAAAAAGGGATGTGCCAAGAGTTCATCGGCAGTGGCTCGTTCATCGACCTCAACAGCAAGACAGCGCTCAAGAAAATTCTGGAAAGTGGCACTGAGTGAGTTCCACCTGGGAATCGATGGTTTCCCAATGGCAGCGATGAGATAGAGAGCCCTGAGGGGAAGCTCCTTGAGATACGGTGGCTCTCCCTCGATCATCTCGATAGCCATGATCCCTAGGGACCAGATATCGACCTTCTTTCCGTATTGCTTTCTGGTGACAACCTCAGGCGCCATCCAGTAGGGCGTCCCCACCATCGTCTGCCTCTTCTCGTCCCCATCGATATTCGCACAGAAACCAAAATCCGTGACTTTGACAGCACCATTCATGCCCAGCAGAACATTATCGGACTTGATGTCCCTGTGGATGATGCCTTTGGAGTGTAGAAAACTGATGGCCTTGAGGACTTCTCTGCAGACAGCTGCAATCTGTGCCTCCTTCATAATTGTCTCAGTGACGACGTCTGTGAGGGGTCCACCTTCGAGCAACTCCATGACAACCCAGAGATGCTCACCCACAAGGTAAGCGTCAAGAAAATTAACCAGATTGGGATGTTGAAACTCCTTAAGAACATTGATCTCCGTAAGAATGAGATTCTTCATTGGTTGTTTGGAGAGATCGATGTCCTTGATGGCGACTTTGTCGTTGTTGATGAGATCAGTAGCTATGAAAACAACCCCTGATGCACCAGCTCCCACCTCCTTCGTTCTCTCGAACCTGCGATTTGGGTCCCCACACTGGCAAATACTCCTCAACTTCTCGTATACCTCCTCGTCACTCATTTTACTCTCCGACGAGTCCGTCTTCCTCCGGAGTACTGGACTCTCCTCCGGCGTGGCGACACTTTCCTTTATGATACTCTCGGCATCAAGTGTGTAGGAGTTCAAGTCCTCCAGGATCTCTGTCAGAGTCTTCTCGACCCGGTCCTGGGGTACCTGCTTCCTGGGGGTGGGTTTCGGTGGTTTATTCCGCTTGGGTGGCAGCTCCGGTAGTCGCTGGCTGTCCGTCGAACTCGACGTCGATCCATCTGAATCTCCAGACTGATATTTCTTCTTCGCCAGAATCTTATCAATCTCCTGGGACTCCTCCTGTATCAGATCCTCAGTTACAAGAGGCTTGAAGATCTCCTGCTGAGGCTTTCTCGTTATTGAGTAATTGTAAAACGTTATGGCATGCAGCGCCGCTGCTGGGTGTGTGTCCTGTTCATGTTTCGTTATCTGAGAGTTGAGCTGACGGAGCCACGAGTCCGGGAGACCCTCCAATTTTCCTGTTTTCGCATTTTTTATTACGTGAAAACGATGGGATACATCTGTTGGCAAACCGATCTCCCCGATACTCTGATCCGATGTTGATTTCTTCTTTGAGAAGAATTTCGATATACTCAAGCTCATCTTTCAACTGGATTCTCTTTAATTATTCCTTTTAAATAACTTATTGTATTTTCTTTGCCACTTCGGTTTTGGGAGTTTCCTCCGCGCCTCTGGAGACACTTATCGCGATTGCGGTTATCTTTCACACAAGACGTGTAATTTTTATACTCATTTTTTAAATTTATTATTACACCTGATCACATCCGTTACCACTGGAGAACATTTTTGAATGGACAACGTTTTATGGATCCGCGTTTTAGAATAAATTTTATAGGAATTGATTTTTGACGTTTCAATTGTTCTGGGATGATTGTATCGAGTGACAATGAGCTACTGGGGCGTTACATACTTGTTATATTCAGTGTCTCTAGTTTTTCAATTGGCACTCGAGTAAATACAAACGAATTCAATTATTATAGTACTCACACTGACACGCCGTACTAACAAACGTGAACTACTCTATTCTTATTTCCTTCTCTTCCTTTTTTCATTGGGCACCTTTTTTTTCTCCTTATCGGCTCAACTCGCATGGAAATGAGCACAAGACGAGCACAAAGTGATACTGAAACACACGGCCAACGCCATAGCGCTGTCTCGATACTCGATTCTCGATAATCTCGATATTTTTTCAAGTGGACAGGAAAATAATACATCTGGGTGTTGCCATCTTATGGAATAATTGTGAAGCTGGAAGGAAATCACGCTTTTTTAGGGTTTTAATTAATTAAACGGTTGGAAAGATAAAAATTTTGACGTTTAATGGGAGAATCGAGGTTCGGTGATTGCCAGAGTCATTTTTTGATTTTTAATTTGAAAGGCGATTTTATTTGACCGGCAGACGGATATTTATCATCGGTTATCGAGCGAGTTAGGAATCGTTTTTAGAGCCGGTTTGAAAAGTCGATCGGCTGGATATTTTATAATGGTTTTTAGTTTTCTTTTTTCTTTCTCAGCAATTGCAATTTGAAATTTCTGTTGGTAGAGGGATTTTACTTACGTTTTTTTCTTTTAACATTCGAATTAACAGTTAATTCTATATATATGAAATCTATATTCTATATAGATTCCATATATATAGTTTTAAAGACCGGTGAAATATGCAGGTAAAAATAATTTTATGGCACACGTGAAAGAAGAAGCACTTTTCTGCACGCATCCGGCATAAAGAACTCTCTTTTCCCACTAATACCATTAATGTTTATCTGATACATGTGAAAGAATTTTCTGTCACTTGTAGCATATACTATATCTCATCACGTTTGACAGACAAAAATGATTTCTTTCTAAAAACAATTTTTTTAATCAATCAACGGCCAATTTCGCATGAATTCCTTCATAAGGCGGTAATAAAATCCTCAGAGACCGGAAAAATATGATCGCAAAAAAAAAGATTTTTTGCACCACAGTTCTGGTTTAAATTGTACTTTGAACTGTTTTTGGCGAACGGTGACAGTAAAATTGTTTACGTCTGCGTATTATCCCTACCAAATTTCCTAATCGGGGGTTGATTTATTCTCATCGCTCTTCTCTCGAAGACCAGACCAGACTTAATTCTGTCTCGGTTCTCCATATTTATGCAAAAAACCAACAGAAGTTCTGCCTCGCATAACAATGCACGAGTTCGAGAAGAAAGGATAAACAAGGAAGAATGGACAAAGCGGGAAGAGCGGTCTTAACACCAAGGTGACGATGTTGATGATTTTCTGCAGAGGTGCGTCAATGACGTGTGTTTCATATAAGAATCGGACATCTCAACCCGGTTCTTAGTTCATACTCGACTGCCTCGAAATTCTTCGGGAGTTCCTTCGCGGTAGCCCGTTGATAGTCGGGGAAAACACGTAACAATATATAATTAAGTAAAAGAGCTTTTCTGAAATATTTGCACATTCGGTCAATGAGGACATTAACGCGAACAGAAGTTGCGGTGAAATTGATTAGTAGTTAAAGTACAATGAGTAATTACAATCTTTAAAAACTCAAACCTCACAGAAATCGTGTAATTTGCGTCAAATTTCCAGAGTTTCCAGTTTTGGAAAATTTCAGGATTTATTGCCGATATCTCCTTGTTTTCTATCTTTGGGAAATTTCTGGAAAATCGAGGATCAGGTTGGCGTGAAAAAATACATCATTTTTGAGTTTTATAATTACTCAATTACTTGTGACAATCACAAATTTTTATAATCGTGTGTCTATTTTTATAAATTTTTGAGTGTTGTGTTGTGAATTCAGTTAGTTTGAGAGTTAAGGAGATTTTCTTAAATGGTTAGATAACTTTGACTAGGGAGTGGACAAATTTCAGTAAGCGGTACGGTAATTTTCCTCAAGCGGCTAAAACCATATGGATATTTAACGAACCGGTCATTTTTACAGATTTTTTCTCTTCACGACTTACTAATGACTCGCGCGATAACGAATATTATCGCTGTTTCGACATTAGTCAAGTCAATTGTTTAACAAGTTTTAGTACTTCGGTTTTAGTGACTGCGCATATCTGTCCTAATCCACTCACAATATGTGACAACTATAAAAGTAAAAGATAAGAGAAAAACACTCGAATAAAGAAATAAAAATGGAGGTGTCGATTTTTCCAGAATCATTCGTCATTGGGATTTTTTAAAATAAATCGCAAGTACTCAGGAAAATGGAAAAAAGTGATTTTATGGGAGTGGATAAACATTCAGAATCAGGAGGTAATCGTGAAAATTCTGGAGGCTTTTGACCGGTGGAACTTGACATTCAAAAAAATTGTATTCACGCGATATTCATTACATAACTCCACAAGGCAGAATACACTGAAACCTTCGGGGCTGTTCCTAATAGTTTAGCCTCAACGAGTTCTAAAACGTCCATAAGCCGTCATAAATCATCGGATTAATGCCATTACAATGGACCCCATTAGATGTATTCAGTTAAAAATGAGAGCAACAACAGAAAAAAGTGTTTTTTCGCTATATTCGCCTTTTTCATTCATTAAGAATATCTAACAAAATAAATCATAACTCATGACTCTAAGCCATGCAAGTCTTATGAAAAATATTTCAATAGAATAAATTGTACAGAAAAATCGAGTTCACTCCACGTTTATCAAATTTCTTCTTCAAAATTTTCCCCTTTTGTTGTACACGAACAGAAATTTCAGATGAAAATTTCTGTAACTTAATGGTGTGGTGTAATGATAATTCAGGAATTCCTAGAACAAAATCTGAGTGAAAATTACACGGAAAATTCCAATTTTTCTTCATAGTTTTATAATTTTCTCTGCTACAGACGTCTTCGACTTGCCACTACATTATACGACTATTAACCGTGAGGGTAAATTTTATGATAAATCATTCGCCGTGTTGAAAACTTCAATTTCATTCGCCGATTCCGAGACTAATTAGCTAACAATTGCGATTATAGAAAAATGAAGAGAATTTTTTAAACGACAATGCAAGTCCTGTGCAACACGGTGGGGCTGATGACTAACTGATAGAGTGGCTTATCTGTATGACGGGTTGAGGTGAACACCAGTGGCTGGCGATCTGCACATGCGGCTGCAGTTTTAAGTTTTACTGGGAAAAAATCAAATCGCGATTGCTCAACTCAACTGGTGAAGGAGCTTCATTTTAATTTTTTTTTCATTGCCCGGAGTGTAAATATGGAGAAGAAAGGGTTCTGTGTGATGATGCTGTTGGCGTTTTTGCCAAATGGAGTTTTATCCTTGTTTCTACGTGAATTAATTTTTCCGCGAATACCAACATTGAATAGAGTTCGGGCAATCACTGAGGCGCGATCCATCGAGCGAGACTATGCAGTACTAGACTTTGTGAGTATTAATTATAATCAGAGTGATGCTAATTACCATGTGGCATCGATAATTTGTTATTGTATGAGTGCGAATTAATTAAGGGCAAATACTATTGACCGAGTTCTTGAATTTCACATTAGAGTTTAATCCGCGACTGGATCAAGGGTGACGGGTTTAATCGGAGCTGATGACGAGTCCATCGGCTCGCAGCATCAGCGGAGGTGCACAGTCTGGTGGCTAATCAATTTTTAATGAGTATTACATGTTGTTATAGGCAATTGTCAGTCAGGCGACAGTCTGGTTAGCATCCTCATAAAAATTATATATGCTTCGAGATTTTATGTGGAGATAGTGTGGACCAGGTTGTGACCAGCAGATTTTATTTTCGGACTTGTGATCTCAAATTGCGAATCCCAAGTACAATACGGAAACTTTAAATATTTTTAATTGAGATTTCAATATTTGCTGGTGTTAGATAAATCGTAAGTCGCCTTCTGAAAGATAGACATTCAAGGATTTTTAGATTTCATTCCAGATATTAGAAAATCTCTGTTTGAGTCCTCAAAGTCTTAAATTAGATTTATTGTCGGAGGGCTGAAGGTGAAATTCATGATTCAAATTGAGACTTTCAAGTCTTAAGTTGAACTATTTACTCAGTTTAAGTTGAGAATTTCAAGTCTCAAATTAATACTTTCAAATATCGAGTCGAGGCATTTAAATCTTAAAAAAAGAATTCTTCCTTTTAATATAAAGAGACGAATGAGGTGAGCTTTTTTCATCAGTCTTGTATTTTTTTCAGATTGGACTCGTTGAGAAACATGGGTATCCCGCACAGGAGCACAAGGTTGTCAGCAAAGATGGATACAAATTGGTAATCCACAGGATCCCAGGCAGCCCGATGTCTCCTCCACGAAGTGGAAAGCCTGTTGTCCTCCTCCAACACGGGATATTCGGGTCCTCCGACCACTGGGTCCTCATGGGGCCGCAGAAAGACCTCGGTGGGTAATTTACCTGAAAAGCGTATCATAAACCTGTTCTTATCACATATCGCGACTTTGGGACTTAAGGATATTGCCGACATCTTCTGATTTTCCAACTTCAGTGTTTAAAAATAAAATGAAATAAATTAAAATGTTCCTACGTTGTCGGTAAACTTTTGCAAAAATTTACAAAACTTCACGAAAGCCAAAAATTATAAAAAATAGTCCTGCGCAGATGCAAATTTATCACGTTTTTGGAGAAATTAACAAAAAATACGAAAAATCAGAAGATATTGGCAATAACTCCTCAAAATCCAGAATCGGTGCATTCTCTTTTTTTATTATAGATTTCCGCTGCACCTTCATTTATTATTTATTTTTCATTCCGGCGTTATTAAGTGGTTTTGAATAATTGATATAAACCAATAAATTCCTGTGGAATCGCGTCAGTGCGTCAGTGGAGGATTTGAGATACTGCTCTTTCGTTAGTATATGAAACAACTGGAATTTTATAAACAATGATTGTCAAGAGAATATCATCGGCTTTAGTTTCGATAAAAGTATTAAACACTGGAATTTCCGATGAAAACATGAATATTTATTATCAAATTCCACTGCATTGTCAATTAATTAAGAGTTCGTTAAAATTCCTCTACCTGGGAATTATGCAAAGTGTCGTAGAATAATTGAGTGGAAGTGAAAGATTGCAATTGATATTTCAAATGGAGTTTTGAATTTTCAATTATGGAATTCCTTGAAATGTCAGAAAAACTAAGGCCATAATATTTAAGTAACAAGTATCCAATTAGGTAGAAATAATTCTTGATACCATAAAACTTTTTACGATACCACCACCATAAATAAAACCGCTAGGTGATACAGCAACCCCGGGAGATCGTTATCCTCATCAACGCGAAAATCCGGGAAGTTTGATTGGCAAGTTCATGCCAAGGTGAACAGGTTCACTGGCTCGTCTTGCTAATTGAGGATTAAAGTGTTACATACTAGGGAATTCATATTGTTCTCGGTGAAGCTCAGGTGAATAATGACTGTGGATTGATTACTGAGAAGAACTACGGATTTATTGAATGATTACGTTAAGAATGGGAACGCATGAGCCTTGGGTTGCTAAACATCTCCATTTCCTTTCACAGCATTCATGCTAGCTGATGGGGGGTATGACGTGTGGATGAGCAATGTCAGGGGCAACACCTATAGCAGAGAACATGAGGAGTTGTGCCCAGCTGATCAGCAGTTTTGGCAGTTCAGGTGAGGCCCAGGGATCGCATGCTCTGAGAGAATAATTCAGTAAACCTATTTTTTCACGACCAAATAAATTTTTTATGAGTTTTTGTTATTTGTTCGGTAGTTTTTATGAAATTATATCTGGATAGTTTAATCTTTTGATATTTTCATTCTTCAGCAAATTGTAGTAAAAAAAATAGTTCTAATGACAGTTATATCCAACTGAAACGAAAAAATGAATTATTTAATTGTATTATATTATTATTTTTTGTAACTATTCAGGAATTGGAAATGTTTTTCTAAATTGAATGCATCCTCAGGTAGATTTTAACGAATACTAGGGTTTATTTATCGCTTTCTGCAAATTGTTTGCGATTATTAATTTATTTCTCTCGTTAATTTTCACATCATTTTTTTTTGTTTTATACTCAATTTTTTTTTTAATGTTCCGAATTACTCGCCCCGTTGACAAATTAAACGAAATATATTCTATTTATTTGTTCTGTTCTTCATTTTCATACGAATAACCGATTCATTTGAAGATTCAAGAATTATTGAGGGATTAAAATATATAATTAAATATAATCTCAATAGTTCTGATCACTATGAAGGCCCGATAGTTAATTATTAAATGAGTACAGATCAATTAGCAGCAAAGAGGATCAAGATTGGGTGTTTAAAAATGCAAAAATAATTCTCAAGAATAATTTATTTAATAAATATTTGAAATTCCCTGAATTGTCGGTAGATCCAGAAGCTGCTGAAACTCGATGCTCATAAATTTTCCATGAATGAGTGATTTAAGAAAATTTGATAATTTTTTATTTGAAAATTCATGAGTAATTTTCAAGCAGTGAAGTCACGAGAATTGCGCAATAGAATAATATGAGCAACATATTTGCTACATTTTTGTTATTGCCCGTGAGTTATGTCTCTCAGAAACAATTATATTTCATATGGTTACAAGAATCTATGGTGCAATTTATTGTGCAGTTACCACGAAATGGCGGTTTATGATCTACCAGCTGTGATAGATTACGCACTGGAGGTATCCAGAGAGAAGGCGTTGCACTACGTCGGGCATTCCATGGGTACAACCATGACCTTTGTACTTCTTTCTATGGTACCTGAGTACAACGATAAAATCAAACTTGCTGTGGCTCTAGCACCCATTGCCCTGTGGAAGGTTCAGCCCACCATACCCATGACTGTACTCATGGAGCAGAATTTCAATTTTTTCAAGGTACACGGCATTTTTCGAAATCCAAAACTAGATCTATGAGCATAACACATCGAGAAATGCTCTCGTAAAATACGAGATTTGAAAATAATTTACCTCTTTGAAATTGAAAATAAATTTGAAAAAAATTTGAAATTGAAAATAAATCATTCACGATTTATTTAAGTTATAAATTACCAGATCAATCGGGTAATTGAAGGAATAAATACCGTATATTACTCAATATCTTCTAGTTTCCTAGATTGAGATAATGAAGGAGGATTTCAAAAACGGAAATTATGATTAAAATTTAATGTATGAGATTGCCTGTGTAATGGACACGGTAACAATCATAACATACGGCATTTTGTCTAAATGACAGAAATTTTTAGTATTTTAATAAAATCTTTTGACAATATCTTGTTGGTAAAACTCATTGCGCTGTAGGAAAAACGTCTGTACACAAATTTTAATGGAAAATACGAGGAAAGCGTGAAATAAAGAAAAAAAAATCATAATTTCCGGTGCTTGTATCGTAATTACCGATTTTTTCAATCGCAAATTACGATTTTAAAAGCGTAAAGTTTCCTTTCAAATCTTGTGTTTCATGAGAACATTTTTCTGTGAATACAACTATTTATCAAACTAGACAATGTCAAGTTTTATTTTAATAAAAAAATTGATTGATCATCTGCATCGATTCCAGGGGCTTTTGGACAGGAATAATATCGGTGAATTGTTTCCGCAAACCACTACTAATGCCAAGTTGGCCAGAGCAATCTGCAGCGATGGAACGATTACTCAATCGGCTTGCCTGACGCTAATGTCCGCACTTTCCGGGCACGATCCGTATCAAATTAACTCTGTGAGGAGATTTACTTAGTTTTTTTTTTATATTTATGCATAGATCGCTCTCTTACTCCCGCAGTAAAATACACTTTGACCCACTCACTAGACTAGACTATATACTCTCCAGAAAACCTCAAGAACACCAATTCCACTGAGATATTTTCAACTTAAACTAAATTTAAAATTTTCAGACGATTTTGCCGTACATGTTCTCATACTTCCCAGCCGGTGGATCAGCTCAGACATTATACCACTACGCTCAGAATATAAGAACAGGTGAATCATAAAAAAATCATAAAAAAATTCTTGACAAATGAAAACAATAGCACGGAGGGAAAAATTCACGGAGGAAAAAATTAACGAAAATAGTCTATACGTAGAAAAATATTGAACCGCCACACAAATTACCGTGATTTTTTTCCGTGAGGGACAATCGACGAGACATAGCCTTTATAGTCTTAATAAAAATAAACCTAAATACAATCTGTCAACGAAATTAAATAAAATTAGAAATACAAGCAATAGGATTTCATCCTATTGATTTCAATTACAAAAACGTTATCAAAAACTTGCCATATAAAATCAATAATTACTCAGACAATTCGATAATTAATACACATTGTAGTTGGCATTGTCTTTTTCGTCAGCCGCTAAATTATATTCCATACAGTAATAATAAAGGCGTTGTAAATTAACGAATTCATTTTTATCACAGGTGTTTTCCAGCAATACGATTACGGTTACATCCAAAATTTCAAGCTGTACAGCCGAAAGCGACCGCCAGTCTACGACGTGAAGAAAATAACAGCTCCATTCGCGTTGATCTATGGCCCAAACGATCCATTGAGCCGGGAAGCGGTAATTAAATAGTGAGTTCTACCCATTTGGTTAATTAATTGAACGTTAAAATACTTGTAGAATATCAACGAGCTCGCGAGGAGACTGCAGAACGTAGTGACAGTGGAAAAGGTGCCCTACAAGTATTTCAATCATCTCGACTTTATATGGGCACAAGACGCCAGCAAACTCCTGTACGATAGGATAATGGAGTTACTTAAGAGGTTCTGAGGGGTCCGCCGACTGATATTTAAATATTCAAGTGTAAATAAATTCTGTACGTTATTATTCGTGACTATTCACTGGCGTGTTTGTTCATCTCTGAGGCAATCAGCAGATAAAAATTTATTCATAAGATTGTTCATGATTATAATGCAGTTGAAAACAGAAAAAGAGGAAGGTCTCACTCATTCGATTCATGTTGACACTTCAACGAATATCGACGAGCTAAATTAAATAGACGAAATCAATTAATTATTCGCAAATGAATAATTATTACATTAAAATTATATATAACTGATTATGGCTGAAGACCCTCGGGTGATCCAGTGGGAGATCCACTTGCATCTTGTAACGAATCACGTTGAAATATAAAATATAGTTGCCATAAAAGACCTAGTCGGCCGTAAATGAATGCAAGAATACAAATAAAAAATAAAAATTACGTTGAATATTATACTGACTGGATTCCTTCAAGTTCAATTTTTATAGATATTGAATGATTATTATCCTAGCAACCATTGCCCTGAATTATTCCAATTGACAGCGCCCTGAAAATAATCTTATTCTCTATGATCCACGTGTATCAAATTCCGAGACCTCGTGATCTGTCTCCTGACGGTGGAAAAAAACCACAAGGACATTTTTTTGATTGAATCCTCTGCAAAAACTGGATAATGACTGCGGAAGAAATTCATACCATCGAAGATAGATCGAGTTGATATTAGTAATAATTTTTACGCGGTATGAACATGTTTTCAATTGTCATCTGCCTGACGCAGTTATTTGCGTTGGGTGTCAGCAAACCCGTGGCATTCAAAGGGCACCTCAATTTCGTGAGTTATTTTGATTATTTAATATTTCAATATTTCCGAAGGTATTTTATACGTTGCGAACGGACAAGTACCAATCGACAAGTGAATACTGTAACTGCAAGTGTATATTTTATTTTTCATTTCTTTTCAATAAAAAGCTATATAAAAATGTTCTAAATAGGAATCTATGTATATATACATTATAAGTATTAACAAAATCATTTTCATAAGCTAAGTTTTGCGACGAAAAACGGTGACACTGCGTTACATCTGAATTTTCCAAAAGGAAAGACAAATATACAATGCAATTGGTACGAAACATGCCTTTTGGTAGCAAAATATTCTTGTACGTGAGGGTTAATATTCTGTAAGCAATATGTGAATATTCAGACGTGGACTCGTGTCTAGACTGAATTGGTGGAGCAATATGGGTACACACCGGAATCCCATGTTGTAACAACTGAAGACGGGTACAACATACGTTTGGATAGGATATCAGGGGCTCCTACATCACCTGAAGCCCCAGGAAAACCTGTGGTTTATCTACTTCATGGGCTCGGTGTAGCTTCTGAGGCTTGGATACTCTGGACTCCCAATAACAGTCTTGGTACATCAACTACTTTTATTAATAATGAAATTAGCAAACATTTGCAAAATATCTACACCTGCTACACCTGTACAATATCAGTCAATTATTACAACAATGACACTCATACATTTTTTTTAACCCTCCATTTTCTTACGTGTATCGTAATGTACTCTTTTGTACACTGTGAAAAAAATCCATCGAAAATTCCTCGCATTTTAGGAAATGTTCATCATATTAGAGTTTTATGAAAGTTCTCATAATTTTTGGGATTTTAAATTGTTATTTTAGGCGGAAAAGGTGACAAACTACCAATTTTTGTGGTTTCCTTGGATTAATTTACTGCATGAAATTAACTGAATAAATTATTAAATTCTTTTAGCTTTCCTTCTTGCTGATGCTGGATATGACGTGTGGTTGGGTAACATCAGAGGGACCACCCACGGTCGTTCCCATCAGTCTTTGGATCCTGATAAAGATAGAGAGTTTTGGAATTTCGAGTAAATTTTTTGAGTAAAATGCACATATTTTAGGTAATAAAATTTGAATGTTAATTTCGATTGCGTTCACAGCCTCACAACAATTTCCACAATGGACCTGCCAGCACAGGTGGATTTCATATTGGAAAAAACCGGAGAATCAAAGCTGACGATAATTGGCCACTCGATGGGCACAACTTTGAGTTACATATTTCTATCAGAAAAACCAACTTACAACAATAAAGTTAATTTGGTGGTGAGTCTGGCTCCCATTGCCTACTGGCATCCCAAAACTCTGGGGATTATTAGAATATTCATGAATGCTGCTTTTGAAACTGCAAAAGTACGTTGTGACGCCAGTTCAATAATATAAATATTCAATTTGAAAGAATCAGTTGGGAAAATTTATGATCATTCGAAATTGGATTGCGATGGCGATTATTGCAACGATTTACTAATTACAATAATTATTCTCATGTGCACAGCTTTTAGTTGCTGGACCTGATATAAATGCAGAAGTCATGCCACACGGTCCTCACGTCGTGAAATTCGCTGACGACTACTGCAATCCTAATATCAGCGATATATGTTTAAAATTCGCTAATATTTTTATGCAGAAAACGACAAGTCCACTGTCTTTCGTACGTAATTTTTCAATTTTTTTTTTGACCCACTTTTTCTTTCCTACTATCCTCGCTGTGTAATTTTTCAATTCACTCGCATCTATTTCACACACTGAATTCCTATAATCTTTATAAATTTTACGAAATAATTGAATTACGATTGAGTTTATATTGATTGTTCTATAAACTTCCGAATTTTTACAATTTATTTAAGATTACCGGTTTTTTAAATTTTCTGACAGATTGGTGAACGAATTGACTCGAAAAAATATCGTTTGTGCATTTTTTTATTATTTAATTTCGATTTTTCCTATCATTTTCTTATAAAGTTTTATGGATTGACGAGAATTTAGAGAAATGCAGGAAAATTATTGCACGGTCATGAGATTTTGGAAGTCAATGAATAATGATAGAATTCTGTATAAAAATAGAAAAACCGGTAGTATTGACTGAAAGGGAGAAGAATGTAGTCTCGAGTAGAATTATAAATATATTTACATGTTGAAAATTTAGGAGGAACTAAGGCACTTGATGGAATACGCACCGGCGGGTTCGTCTTTACGACTCCATCACCATTATCTCCAGAATATTAATTCGGGTAATTTCCAAAAATACGATTATGAATCAACTGCTGCTAATATTGAGCATTACGGTCAGGAGACGCCGTCGAAATATAATTTGAGCAACATTGATACGCCTGTTGTCCTTATCTACATAAAAAACGACTTCTTCTCTCCGGAGATTGTAAATATGATGATTAATACTCTAAAAAAATGACACAAAGTATTTTTTTGCACCTGGAATTATTGGAACTAACGATTTGTCATTATACTTGCAGAGTACGCGGATTTTAGAGAAGCATCTACCGAATATAGTCGTCTCCGAAGCCGTTCCTGATAAGGCTTTTGTTCATGCTGATTTCATTTTTCATAAAAATGTGAAAGCAGTCATTTACGATAGAGTCATTAAACTCATTGGGGAGATCCTGAAAATTGAGAGGAAATTGTGAAGAGTTATTATAACAGCCACTTACGAGTGAGGGATGAATTTGTGGTAATTCTCGATAAGTCCCCGGAAATTAGAACTTTTTACTATGTTTATAAAAGGACATAGAAAATACTTAGAATCAACATTGAATTATAATATTTTTCTCTGCTCGGAAATCCGTGAGGTGTTTCAGTTATCGACAGCAGATCATTCAAGAATGAAGAAATACATAATAAAAAAAATTGCGTACAAAATGCTGTTGGAAATCTTGAGAATAATGTCCAAAAATTTATAACATTCCCCGAAAAATTCCGGGAATGTTCGATCCTGAAATCCATCAGTTTCTCCAATCCTATGGATAGGTGCCTAGATTCTAAAAAAAAAATGAGTGATCGCCGTCTTGCCTTCAGCAAGTAGTTTCCAACAATGTGAATTTCCAAAAAAAAAGGCAATTAGTTCCTAATATTTTCCTCGTGATATTTTCTTTCCTAACTCATCTACTGATTCATCAAAATGATAATTCGGTTTTCCAAATTTCTGGCAATCCCACCCATATTCATATTCATCAGGTCTCCATTCTACTCGACTCCAGAATTTTTCTACTTGCATTTGAATCTCGCGCCAAAGCGAGCGCCATCTGCGAAACAATTCAAACGCCAGTGCAGACTCGAATTGACCTTAAGAATCACTTAAACAAAGATGCTGTATATTTAGAGAGGATTATAACAAGAATATTGTGCCCGAAACATTCGATAAAAAACAGAGAGCCACAGTGGGAGGTTTTAGTTGTTGTCTCTGCAGCTGCTGCATTGAAATTATGAGAGGAGGGGCTTTTGAACAGAGAGAAAGGCTGAGCGCATGTGATTGTCAGTAACAAGCTCTCAGTACAGTCCGATGACTCGTGCCACACTGGTGCAATTGGGTGCGTGTGTACTTGAATAAATACCCGAGAGTTTGACAGCCGCCATGAGTCCGCCAGTTATCGCTAATTTCTAGAATTTTTCTTAAATGAATCGACCTTCCCCATAGATTTAACAAACAATCCCCCTACATCTGCACAATTATCCACACATTACTCGGTTTTTTTCTCGTATCTTTTTATTCAAAGCATCTTCTTTACCTGGCCATTGTCTCGGCCTCTCGGTCAATCCAAAATAGCAGAGGACATTGCACGTGGAGGAATTTGTGGACGCGAGAAACTTTCAGCACCTGTGGAGCCAATTTCATATGCGCGCAATGTGTTTTTATTTTTATTATTGAAGTTTACTGTTGGTAAATTGATCTTGAGGTTTTACGTTTTTAGAATTGATTTTTTTAATAGCGATAAATTTGTATGACATTCGAACTTTATAAGGCGTCATGTAATGTCTCCAATATTCAGTGAAATTTTAAGAAAGTGGAATGAAACGGTGAAAGTTATCCAAAACTGTGGAGATTCAGGTCATTATTTTTTTCAAGTGCTCAATCTATTGAATATTTCAACTGTCATTAAAATCTCTATGTCTATTCATCATAAAAAACTGTTTTATTTTCAATGATTTTCCATAAATGTAGATTTCACGTAATTTGCAACCGATAATAATTTCAGATGAATAATAATACTAATATTAATTCAAAATATAATAATACTTCTTGAATATTTTTGTAACAGTGGAATACTAAAATTAAATTGGTAATCAAGAAATGTAGAAAATATACGGATATAATTAATGAATAGTTTATTTCGGTGTCTTAAAAGGCCGCTTTGTAATTGCGGATAGCGATTTTTTTTAGAGATACTTTTTGATTTTAGAAAATATGGGACATCATAGAAAATTCCGAACGAGATATCAATAAAATATATATTTATTGAGATATTTAAAATTATTGAAAGCACATAATGAGTCGTTACTGTTTAAAATCAAAGATTGGTTTTAGAAAAAAACCGCCATCAGGCAACTCCGATTGATAGGTCGATTCCACACCGCCATGACACTTGTTACATACTCTCCGCCATGACAGTTTTCAATACATGCTTTTTTTTACATGAGGAGCATGAGGAGGGAAAGGATAATGATAACGGTATACTCGAAGAGAAGCGAGAGTTCATCGCTTACTGATTCAATTTCCAGTCGCAGAGCTCGAACGCAATACGCGCTCTTCATTATCTTCGTTAAATATATTGCCTTTCGGGTGTTAATTACGCGCATGAATGAGTGAGGAGTGCTTATGACTTTCATAACTTCCGTTATCTTTTTTTCTGTCAATCATGACCTAGATCTGTGATTAAACGACCCCAACTTTGAGCGCAAATGTTCATTCAAATATTCGTAATGAGTTAAAATGGAAATTGAGCTGATTAATCAATTAATTTAGTTAATTGCTAATTAATAATCATTTTGGGCGTCATTAGGTAATTAATTAAGTTAATATGGAAGTTGGTAAACGGAAGAACTATAAGAAATCCTTGGGATCGTGATTATTATCGTTATCGAGCTATCGATTGCGCTTATAACGCGGAATAATAATTAATTATTCACAAGTTTGATTTCAGTAATTTTCTGCATGTCATTCGTGTCCCTGTGTAATGAGGGATTCGACGTCCGTTTATTTGTCGAGACTGTACGTATGGAACGCGGAATGTGGATTAATTCGTTTATTATCTCCTCTTTCATTATCTTTGACATATCAGCCTTTCCTATTGTCGATATATAGACAAAAGTCTCTTGATCGTTAAAAAAATTTCTTCATGTCAGAAAAATGTTTTTAGATAATAATAAAATCTCATTTTTTTAAAGGATTTTTTTTCAACTTTTATCTTTGTTTACAATTGACAATTTTAATCATTTTCTTAGAGAGTTATTGAAACGGAAAAACATACGATTTAAAATTGCTGGAAAACTTTAATCGATACTAGATAATTTGATAAAAATTTCACAAGTATTCTGTTTAATCAAGGAAATGTTTTCTAGCAGAAAGAAGTGATTGTTTTAAATTTGATAAATTACTTTGGATTTGATTTGGTATGGTAATGGAATGAAAAATGGAAGATTAATCTGTGCAGAAATTATTAAGGCTAACATATCGTAATAGTTCATCAGTTAAATGTCATGACAATATTTCATCACACTACAGTCGACCGGAAATCGTCCGATAAACATACGATAAAAAATACTACAAAATATATTGCAGTTGCCTTGATCGGTTACAATATTCACACGGTGTATTGCGTTTGTGATTCATTTTTTCGATTATTTTTTCAGGGAAACGAGTGGTTAGGATGTCAATGGACAATGGACAGTGAATCGCAATTCGTTATTTACTCACGTCTCAGATGACGAATACTCAGGATATAGTACGAACATTCGAGTTTCATTCCAACGATTGTTCGTCATATTCGTCTGTTCATACAGATGTGATACATATTTATGATTGGCAAACTGTGTGAATGGACTTTCATCGCGTGTCTTGAAAAAGAGGAAATTATCACTGAGGGATATGGAGCGCTTGCGCAAAAGATTTTTGAGAAGGTATACTAGGGTACAGAGATTGACGATTACTTTTCAAAGTTTACAGATGCCCTTTTTAACCAGAATTGTCGGTTTTTCAAGTGTTTTGATAAATTGTTAATCGGATTGACGCGAAAAAAAATAGCGATTTCGCCTTTGATCATTATTTAATGACAATGCTTCTCCGGTTTTGTTTCTAAACTTTTTATAAACTTATAAGGCTTTAGAAAATACAAGAAAATTATTGATGGCGCATGAAATTTCGTTTTATATTTTTTTTTATATATTTTTTTTGATTAACCGGATTAACACAACCGGATATCGCAATATCTCGACTTGTAATATTTTAGGAGGGGGGATATCTTGAGGGGTAATATTATTATTGACTAAAATTTAGAGCGGCGGTCGCTGTAATTTTTCATAAAAGGGGGTAGAACATGCTTACGTGAAAAACTGTCAATTCTTACAACGATAAATTAACGGCTTAAAAAAAATATGGATTTTAGAAAATATTTGATTAATTTAAAAGGAGCGGGTCTATTACACAAAAATCATTTTAACAATTTATTAAAATGGCCTAATTATCTGGAACTGTTTTAGGAGGCCGATAGATACCGATCTGGAGACACCTGAAGAGCAAAAAGAAAGATGGAAAAGCATATACATAATTTACTTCACAATGTTTCTAATGTCGCTGGGTTTCAGTATAATATTGTCGAGTATTTGGCCGTACTTAGATAGTGTAAGTGTTTTGAAATGGATTTTCCAATTAATTGAATGCCTGACTGATGTGGGGATTTTAGTTGGATCCAACGGCTGGAAAGATATTTATGGGCTACGTTGTAGCAGCAAATCCATTTGGGCAAATGTTATTTTCACCACTGATCGGTTGGTGGGGAAATAAAAGAGGTTCTGTGCGGTTACCAATGCTCGTAACTCTCGCACTTTTTGTTGTTTCCTCTGCGGCTTACAGTTTAGTACAGATCCTGCCAGGATCGCCGAAAATTTGGATGCTCACTGCCAGACTGGGGATCGGTATTAGTTCCGGTAAATAATTTTTTTCCATTTATATTGTCAATAGACGATTGTTCTCGGAACTCTTGATCGCGCATTGTCACTTGACATGACGAAGTTCTCATTTCAGTTTCTTCTGAGTTCCAACGAATTCCATTCATAACATTAAAAAATCTTTTTTTCTCTGTCGATGACATCAATTTAATGGACAGCGCTATTTAATTGCAATTTTATTTTTAGCAAATATTGCCCTTACGAGATCGTATCTTTCGGCAGCAACAGTATTAGCAGAAAAGATTCAAGCTGTTTCCATGGTATCTCTTGCCCAGGTATGATTCACTAGCTTCCACATTTAATGGGGCCATAAAACGTTTGCGATAATTTTGTTTTCAACAGAGCCAGCGTAAAATAGCAATATTTATGTTACTGTTACTAATACTAATGAAGCAAATGAAAGTAGATTCTGAGTCATTTGTGTGCAGTAACATTAATTTATGATGTTATCCTTTCCATTTCTATGTTCATATTTAGGTGTTGGGATTTGCCGTTGGGCCAGCCCTTCAGGCAGCAGTCACCCCAATAGGCAAAGGTTTTACGTTGCTGGGATTGCCCATAAATATGTACACAGCACCCGGCTGGTTGAACGTCATCATGGGAATAGCGAATTTTGTTCTGTTTTTGCCATATTTTTTCAAAGAGCGACACATCGCTACTCGTGAAGCCATGAGGGACCTGGGGAAAGTAACTGGTAACAGAAATTTACGGTCTGAATGAGTAGCTATCAGTATCGTGTCGTGTGCAAACGTCGTTTGCTAATTAAGTATTGAATGTTGAGAGATTTTCTATATAAGATTTTTTATGGGATTTCTTAGCGGATTTTTAATCAAATTTTGGTACTGAGGATAAATTTTTTTGGGGGGTACACTGAGAAAAATTCAGTAAAATGTAAATCTATTAGTGTCCGAGCGAAAACGCTCGTTATTATTGAATTAGATTTGAAACAATCAAAAATATTTTTGAAGTACCAATTTACCGATTTTTTACGAATTTGAAATAAGAATAAATCAATATACTGTTAATCAGATAGTTATATAAAATCGAAACAGAAAAATAAACTATTCAATTCTATTATATTAATTTTTCGTAACTATTGAGACGTTGAAAGGTATTTTTAAACTACTTCAATTCGCAGTTTTTTATTTTTTTTTTGCAGAAAAAGAAGCGTGGAAAGCTTATAAGCCAGATTATTTAGGAGCTTGGAGTTTGATACTCGCTTTTGGAATTCTAGTCTTCAATTTTATATTATTGGAAACGTGAGTCCTTGAATTTCTAGGAATTCGACGTTTAAACGGATCACAAAAATGAATAAAAATGTTTTGGTTGAAGGCTTGGAACACCTCTCATGCTGGACAATTTTGCTTGGACAAAACAAGACACAGTGGGGGCTATGGGAATAATGATGAGCGTCGGTGCAGTCCTCGCTTGTCTATCATTTGCAATGATCGAGCCTTTGTGCAAAAAGTAATCTCCATCACAAAATAAATAAACAATAAACGTATATTCCGCAACTCCGCATATTAAAAAAAAACGCATGCCAAACATTTTTCATTCCACGTGAGAACACACAAGTTAATTCACACTATTGTTAACTGAACTGATCGAATGATTTCTGATGATCAGGTTTAATGAACGAAAAATGCTGATCTGGGCAGGTTTCTTCTTGATGATAATAGGCAGAGTACTCATTATTCCATGGGGACCAGGAACACCAAGAATGGCGGAACTAGATCGTGAGTGATTTCACCTTTTCACCGAATTCCAAAATTAATTTAACTCCATTCAATATATGTATTAATATCCGGTTATTATCAATAATTAAAACCAAATGAAAAATCAATCAGTGAAAATTCGGATTGAGTATTATGGAGCTTTTGAATTTCTTTTTGCAGCAATAACCAATGCGACAAGTACGGAGAATGGCAATGGTACTGAAATAATTGGATGCCCAAGAACTCAAGAATGGTGTTATCACACTCCCATGATGACTCCCCTTCAATGGTTTATTGGCTATGTATTTACAACTATTGGTTACCCCATAGGGGTAACACTGACCCAAACAATATTCAGTACAATCCTGGGACCACGTCCGCAGGGCCTGTGGATGGGAATGCTAACGGGGACTGGTTGTGCCTCTCGAGTTCTGGGTCCCGTCTTCGTTGGTTACATCTACACGGTCTGGGGACCTTATCCCACCTTCGGAATAACCGGCTTTACCCTCATTGTGGGTATGATCTGGCTCATGTGCGTTGATAAACGATTAATTCCAAAAGTACCGGAAAGTAAGAAAAAAACTCAAAATGGAAATGTCGAGGTGGAGCTGCCGCTCTTCGGTGCACCAGAGAATCAGACCAATGAGATCGAGATGCAGAATTTGAATGAAAATTCTATACACAATGATAAATGATCTTGTGCTTTTTTAAAGCATGTGTACATATCTGTTGCAGATTTTTTCTGCGCATTAGACAATCATGTGAAATTTATTTTTGTATATCTCTAAGAGACGATCCGTGATCTTGCTAGTTATTTCAGTCTCAATTAATAAATAGCCAGTTAGGGTGAACATCAAGTGGTTTCTGTTAATTCCCTAAATACTTTTAATATTTAACCCGTAAAATACTTGGATTCATTTTGTTTTCATAAAAACATCTCTAAATTAAATCTGAAAAACGAAGTATGAGATTTCTAAAATGCAGGAAACCCGTGCAATATTTTACTGATAAATTTTCTGATGAGTTATGCAAAAATTTCATAATAATTAATTTATCATAAATGATAAGAGTATATTACAATATGAAACATAAATCACAATAGGAAAATATGATAAATGTTTAATTGATTCCGGTCAAGATCGGAGTTTTTCACGAATCTTACACAATCGTATTTATACTGCCTTTATTTACTCTCGCGTATGTTCTCAAGTGTGGAGTTTGAATGGAACAGTTAAATACCGTAACTTCACCGCTCTTTACGTCAGCCAGGGCCAACGACGTGGACTGCGTATTCGGCGGTATATCTGTAATGAAAATTGACTTTTTATGTGAAAATTGAGAACTGAGCGTCGGCACTAATCAATTCGAAATCCCTGCACGTGTAGACACTCTATTGATGAAATGGGTGATGTCACTCGATCGTCAAAAATAATTCTTAGCCGTAATTATGAAAAGCTTTTGTTCCTTTTAAATAACTATTCCCTTAAATAACCATGGAAGTGGTATTCACGGGTGCTGGAGGGTAGAAATACTGCATAAGACTTCCGGAGTCCGCACGATATCCGGTGATCCGCGGGACGTATATTTTTTACTTAATCATCACTCACGGGGAAATTAAACCGACTACTGAACGAAATCTCTCATATCCTGAGACAACAACAGGCATGGGGCGATCGATCTTCTCCGTTTATTTGAGTACTTACAGAACGTAAACACATGTACCGAGATAATCCTCGGTGTGAATCTATTAAACACTTGCCGAAAATATAAATGACAATTGTATGAAGAATTGCAATCTCTTGCAGAATTTTTATATGGCAGTATCAAAATTCTTTCAGAGGCACTACGACATAATTGCCAAGCGTCAGGGTAAATTTGGAAAAGAATTTCTCTTCGTGCAGTTAACGAATTTGAAGTGATGATGATAAATTCAAGACAAAAGTGGCTACTTTGGAGATACAAACAATAGATAACCGATTCTATCGTGATGATAAAAATGCACAATCACGAAAAGGGGAAAACTACGGATGTTGTTATGACCGAGCGATGCGTATACAGAGGAGGTACTTCACACTCGAAGAAGAACGCCCGGTTTTTTCTCTATTGGAAGGTAACTGTGCGAAACCGTCTGATATCATCATCCGCTGTTGCGTTTTTCGCCAGTGATAGAGATGACCACTATTTTAGGTCCTTCTTCTCTCTCACGAATATCCCCGGAACTCGATATGACGTAGGATCCTCCTACTCTCGCTGCATGTTATCCCAACGTCTCGTCAAACAGGATTCGCTTTCCAACAAAGATTTATTACTATTTGCATTATTATTTTATGAACATTGAGCAATTCATCATGACTTGATTCAGAGGCTCGAGGAAAACACCGCAAACACACGTAATAAGTCATCGGATAGTATCGAATATCATCACCTGCAATATTAGAGTTTTTTTAGACTTTTTCAATTTCGCGTAAAACAACATAATATTTTTAACAACGACAAATCCACATGAATTTTATCTGCATTTTCTGGGTGAAAAATCAGGTGACGTCTTCGGTATTCAATAAAAATAGTAAAAATTGACGTCAAGTTTTTCCCGAAAATTTAATTTAATATTTGATATTCGCAATGGATTTTACTATTAAACTGTCTTTGAAATATTAATAATTGTTTATCGTGGAAAATAAAAATTTAGTTAATTTTCTAGTTTAATAAGATCTTGGAGGAATGATGTCATCAATTCAATTAAAAACTTGAGAATTACATGGCGACTGTTACTGGAAATAGAAAGAAAATTATTTTAGAAATTGAAATTTGATATGAAAATGTTGTAGAAAAAAACGGAAATTCGGATGATAGATTTGAATTGGGAGGAAGTGAACGGTGAATCTTCAACGGGCCTTGAATCCCCACTTTCAGGTGTCCACACGCAGAGTTAAGGTTTATCCCCCTTCTTGACCAACGGAATAGATTTTGCAGACAAGTATCAGTTTAATATTGGCAAGCGCATAGATAAGTCCACCCTTGGGACCCAACATGTGGGTCAATCCGGGATTTCTCGTGTTCTTTGGTGAGTTTTCAATGCAAATATGAAATTCACATTCCAAGAGGCAGATTCGAGGCAGTTGTGAAGTGATCAAATGGTTCACATTATTTCTAGAAATATTTTTCATGGAATCTTTCTCGATGCTTGAATAATAAAATCATAAGAACCTCGCAAATTTTGGGATGAATCGAGCAGAAATGGAAATTCTGATTCAACTTGAAATATTAAAAATAATTGTGATGTTAAAGGATCGATGAAACTTTTATGTTAGACATCTTCATGTTGTTTTTTTTTAAACTCTTTTGGTACTATGGATTCATCTCAAAAAAGGTTTTCGAATATTCAGAAAATTGACTGATGCTTCCACAATAATAAATAATCCAGCACCCAAATGTTAAAGATATAAAAAATGTTTAGGGTGTATTGATTGGATGATATTTTTTGGATTCAGGGATAATTCTCAAAAATTTAACTATTGAATTGAATAAGAATTAGTTCGTCCTGAAAATTCGATATCATTAGCTTAAAACATCAAGACCATTGTAGCAAGATATCCGCGAATGGTTTGACCTGGACTGAATTTTCCAACAGGATTTCTTCATGTGACGCAAGCAGAAAGGGAATTCCCAGATGAGCAGTCGATAGTGCATATAGACGTGCAAAGATTGAGACCAAGAAGTTGGAAGTCTCATCAATCGAATGGTGGCGATATTGAGGGAGCATTTAAGGTTCAGTGGACAGGAAATGGGGATTTTCAGGCGCGCCAAGTAGAAAAATCGAGTCTTGAGAGGGAGTTACCCCCCTGGGATTCCCAGGTGGAAAAAGGGTCCGAGGAGGATACGATTGACCCAGAGCCATCATTGCCATCGTCAATTCTCCAACCGCCATTTGAATTCTATTCATCATCTATCCACGACTTCGCCAATGAAGACACGACACTGTCGAATGACTTCGAGACCTCATCTGATAATAATTCCACGATAAAGACATTGAGAATTTATGAGATTACGAAATCCAATTCATCGAGGGGATTTCGCAAGGGAAATGCTATCACAGCTGGACGATCCTTCGTTATATCCGATCCGAGTAGTGAAACCAAGTCCTCCAATTCTCTTCGATCAGTTATTAGAAACAAAAATCTTACGAGATTGAACGGTGTCAATCGTGGAAATGATAGTGGTGGGAGTTATTCTGGGGCTAATGGAGTGGATGACAGATCGGGAGGGATAAAACCCAGGACAAATGTAATAAGAGCCAATTCTGGGAAAGGCAATGCACCCAGGGGCAACCGCAAATATCAGGCTAGGGTTGACAGTGATGAAACGCTCGTGAGAAGAAACAGTTGGGGGAACACGAGGGACAATTGGAGGCGGCCGGTTAATCGGCCCAATCACTTCAGGTTTAGCGGTCAGTACTTTGACCATTATATCTTCTTACGGTAATGGTTTATGCTAATTCAATCTAGATATTAGTTCCAATCACTTTCCTCTGTGTGGATTATGTTTCTGTGGTGAAGAAATGGAAGATCTTGGGGTGATATTGATATACGGTCGGTTTCATCAGTTTCATTGATGAGAAAAAAAGTACTTTTCATGATGAAGACTTATTATCCTCTTATACATTTTGTAAATCGTGACAATTCGTCGTGAGTAATTCGTCGTTACATTGAATAACGAACATATAGTTTTTTAATTCATCTGGGGCTTTAGGATCTATGACGTGTTCGGGGCGGTATGTGATTTTCCTCTGAACTCAAATTTTTACTTCAATCAAATGTTTATATCACAGATTTTCGGGTTGTGAATAATATTTTGGTTAAACATAAAAAACGCAGCAACGAAAAAGCTCACCCTAAGGGACGTTTTATCGAGACATGAACGTGCTGTACAGAATTGCAAAAAATTTTCAACAATTGATGAATTAAAAATAAATTGACTCGATTATCGTGAATTTCCATCGAATTTCCATTGAACAATTTGAGTAAAATCTAGTTTTTACTCGATTTTTTTCTTCGAATCGCACGTGATCGATGCGAAGAATCTAATTTCATTGAATCGATCTAATTAGCCGACACCAAGAGAATTCATTGAATTGATCAATATCATTAACTCCGGAATAGAGTGAACTATCGTGTGAACGAGTGAAACTCGATCACACGGTGATATTTTCATTCAAGTCGAGGGAAAATGTTGGTACCGAACAAAGGGACGGAATAAAGACGAATCATGACGGATGAGTCTGCGGGTCATTCGATCAACAATCGAATGAACTGATGAGCCACATGTGAATGTGGGCACCACCCGCTGCATTAATCTAGAACGCTTGCTACAATTAGGGATGGGTGGGGTAAAATGGACACCAACGTTAAATAATGTCGCTAATCGTACATCGACATTGTCACAATTCGTTGGCATCATACAGCGTCTAAATAGTTCTACAATAAACAAAAAAAGAAATCAAAATGAACACTTCAATTTTTTCTCTAATGACAAAAAAATTTCACTGCTTCACTCAATTCATTTAATTGTTTACAGATTTGTTTCATAACGAAGTTTTTAACAAGTTAAATTTCGGAAGAACAATTAGGGATAATTTCTCCCTAATATTTTTTGAGTGGTAATTTTTTATGTCCAACTCATCTACTGATTCGTCAATTTATCATTCAGTTTATTTTGGTCTGAGAGAGTTGGAGAAAATTTTCCATTGCAAAATAAAAATGAGTCTTTTGAAATTTATTGGGTGTCCATTTTATGCCAGGCTCCCCTGCACTTACTCACTTTCAATGACTAATAGATTCCGGTGTGAAAGTCGGCGCAGTACCGGGGGTTGCCGGTCGTGACTACCCAGTGCACCAGGAACACACCCACCACCATCTCCAAAATGTCGTGGGCAGGTTCCCATGTCCGAAGGACTCAGAAAAACATTTTTATCTCGCGGATCGAGCGTCGCGTTGTCAGGTAATGATCAGCAATTATTTATATTTTATATGAAGCGACCACGAGATAAATTGATAAAACTTTTTTGAAACTTCCTGGAGAATATAACAGTAACTCAAATTTTACAATTTGATTCAATTTTTTTTGTGAATTATTTATATTTTATATGATGCCACCAAGAGACAAATTGATAAAACTTTTTTGGAATTTCTTGGAAAATATGACAGTAATTCAAATTTTACAATTCCACTCAATTTTTTAAAAATGGATTTCGAAAATCAGGATCTGAAAAGCATTTCGCACCGGAAGAAGACGCGATCTATCGTATTTTTAAAATATTTCAGATATTCTACGTGTGTTATGGAGGCGAAACTGGAGTGCCCATGGTCTGCCCCAATGGCACATTATTCAATCAGGAAATCCAAGTCTGCGATTGGTGGTTTAATGTTGTGTGTTGAATGTTTATTAATCGTAAGAAGAATCACCACATGAACATTACGTGACATAAACCAATAATGTATAATATTTCCTAGAATATACGAAATATTTACAAAATATCCAACACACCGAGACAATTATTCAAAGACAATCCAGAATATGCGACTCTTCAAGGGATATTCAACTGGTAAAAAAAAGCCTGGATACGATTGGATAGTTAAGATTCATACAAATAACGCCTTGAAATAACTTCCAGTTGACGCATGACCCAAATAACCGCGGAAGTTGTTAGAATATTCCCATCGACGATAAAAGAAATAAACAGTAAATGTAAAATTGCAAAATGAGAAAATCTCATCAAAAATCCGGAAGCCCTAACCGCTGTGCGAGACTATAAAAATTCCCCCCCAACAGTTTTTTTGATTCATTAGGACAACCCCAAGGATTTCACAGTATTTCCCCCATCGTATTCCAAAATCCTATCTCGAGAGATATTACGAGGGTACAACAGAGGGGGTTAATCTTGTATTTTGCCCTCAGACTTTAACAGCACCTCGCCTTTTCTTGCCTCCACCCACTGGCTTTTGTAATCCCATACATGTGAATATCTATAATGCATAGTTCAACATCACCAATGCATTCCCCTGTTTGTCGTGGGGGTCCGGGGTTTCGGTGAAGGGTCGAAATTTCGACGAGGGGGCGGTTTATTTTTGGGGGATAACAAAGTGGTGGATCCAACTGACGATATGGGGGCATAACTCGAGTGACTCACGCCTAAACGCCATTACAAATCGCAAGATACCGAGGGTGACTATTTATTCACGGATAGACGTTTTGTCGAGGAGATAAGACACTGGCTCATTCGGTACCTATTCGTACTTGCGATTTGAGATTTGATCTTATCAGCCGACCCTCCCATCGAGAAAATCACGTATGAAATCATTTTGACAAAAACGTATCACATTCCAACAAAATTTCTCTTGAATTTATACAAATTTTTTTATCCATCTATTCACTCGTAAATAAATTATCCATGTTCGCAATTCTCTCGTTTACGTATTTTTTTTGGCATAATTCCTCATTTTCTTTCGTATTGCGGTGAGACATTCTGTACTTTTTCCAAAGCTTATTATACAGGCTTAGGAAAAATACGTGACTTATCTGGTTCATCTCATTTTTCGTGGAGTTATAGGTTTCCATGTGGAAATGTGGTCTTCATGGTTTACCTCAAATTCAATTTTGGTTCAATTTTGCGGGGTTTTCAAATGAAATGATTTTTTTCAGGACTTCAGTCTGGATTCTTGAATAACGCGCAAAAATAATTACCAATAAAATGATAAATAGTGAATAAATCATGAAAATATCAGAATGCAATGAATTATATACAGAGATACAAATCCATTTGTTTTTCTTATTTGGTAGAAGTTCCAGAGATATTGATAACAGTAGCGCAATTTTAGGGTCGTGATGGAATTTATTTGAGAGTAAAAAAAAAATGTTGAAACGTTTTTCCCAGTTGTTGTTATCCTTTTTCATTTTTAATCGGCGTAAGTGTGCGGAAGGAGACAAAGGGCATGATAATAACACAGGGAATATGCGTGTTGTATTCGGTGGAGGTTTTTAGAGAGGGTTCTCCCCTAGTGGCTTCTGAAGAATGACAATGTACAGGATATAGAAAAAAAACTGTAGCCCCGGTTTAATAAAGTTCGGCGGATGCATTGACTTTTCGACAGCGGCTTCTTTATGACGAACCATGCAAAATTGATCTTCAATATGCGACAGATGATTTTGAGAAAAAAAAACAGTAGGAAATTCGGGAAGGCATAAAGTACGAGTGTTGCATATTGATGGTGAGTGTAGATACGTTTTTTGGATGCTGCACTGGGGGAGGATCTGAGATTTATCGGGCGGGGTACTGACCTCCTGGGACAGCCGCGTTTTATTGAGTTCCTGCATTAAATGTTACTGGAATATCTCACGATAACAGCAGAATGTACTTTACAATGTATTCAACCAAAAGTTTCATACTTTTATGCTTCCAGTAGTCCAACTCTTTTTAATCCAATATACTACTATTTTACTATACAAGTGGAAAAAAGTACTTTTTCATGTGTATTGTATAAAATGTTATAATACTCGTGAAAAAATACCCTTTTTTCACTTGAATTATGAATACTAGATTACAATACGAATGCATTATGTAGTATTTGTCTTGATACTATTAAGGAAAGGAGATTTTTGGCAGATGAGAGGATTTTAAGTGGAAAATCGGAAAAATTTGCAATTTTTTCGGGATTTAATAAACATGATTTAATACACTCAATTCCATAAGACAGAAAATCAAATGAAATCAGTTGGATACAGTTTCTGGTTTCCAATATTTTACTGAAAATAGATTTAGATACAAAATTGAATATCTCCTAAATCAATGATTCGATTCACGCGCGGAAATCTCGGTGTAATCTCGGCCGTGGGAAGAACAACAATTTTTTTATTTTCATTCGCTAGGTTAAAGGTTATTAATTCATTGTATCAATTCTAAAGAAGAAAAAATTTCCCATTTTTTCAGTGCAAAAATAATAAAAAATTTATTGAATTACACCATTCTTCATTAGAGTACTTCATTAATTAATTGTAACAAAGATAAACTGTTCCAGGATCAATTCATCAATTCATGAAAATTCTAGAACTCAGTAGCACATAATTAAGGAACACTACCAGAAGTAGATTAAAAAAAAACATCCAGAGTCGCCTTTTATAATGAAATACCACACAAACTTCTCTCCCTTCAGCTGCTAAAATTCCCAATCCAGAGTAAAAAAACTCCAAACGAATTCCTCACATTCTCAAAAAAGCTGAGCGCCTTATAATAAAATATGTATAAACCCTCGCATCTCGAAAGTATTGATTCAATACATACCACCCCGAACGACCCTCTTAATCTAATCCATCGAGTTTCTTCAACCTAGACTTGGACTTCTTCTTAACTTTTCCATTGAGCGAAACCCCAGCAAGTGGATCCCGTGGTTTGATTCCCTTGGGGAAGGGCACAGGATTCTTGGCAATGTCAGCCCCGAGACAGGCTTTAGCCACCGACGTCAGTCTTCTCCTCATCGTGACGGTCCCAGAGGGTCTGATATTAACGATTTTGAAGGGTTTGTCGTCCCTCCCAGTGCCAAAAACGCAGGTGAGACAATCCGAAGTATCGTGACTAGTTGCCTGGTACTTCTCCTGACCGATTTTCATTTTAGTTTTAGCCCCGAGGTGGAGAATTTGTCCTTGCAGTTCTAGAGGCTCGACAGACTTGGGGACATCGATAATCCAGAGCTCATCGTCCGGGTCCACGTCCTCTAAAGTGTAGGTTTGACTTGTGGAATCAACCACTAGCTGCTCCATCGAGACCAATTCCTCTAGGTTGTGAGGACGATCCACCGCCTTGTGGGTGTTCTCCTCGGTGCTCCCAGGGTTCCAACCATTGGAGAACGACAAACTCCCGGTGAGCGGAGTCTCCTCATTTTTTTCAGTCTCCTTTCTCTTTAAGATACTCTTCCTGATTGTGTTCTCCTGGACAGGAGTACTCGTCGCCTTGACTGCTGTTGTGTTTATCGTTATTGACTTACGGGATCTCTTATCCTTGGGCTTTGGAGAGCTTCTTGCAGACTCCTCCATCAGCACCATCGATCTGTTCAGGGCTGTGTTTATCTGTGTCAACCTGTCCTCTGCTTCACTCATCACCATTGTTTTATTGTCCGTTTTTTTTTCTTTTTGACAGGATTTTTGGAGCACTCACATGTGTCACGAGGGTCTCAAGAGGTTACGTTTTACGCTCGTCCTCGGAGAACACCGGGTTACAGAGGGATTGCATAGAGGGCACCAGAAACTCGGTTTGAAATCTGTAGCGAACTGCTCGACTGAGAAATTTATAGTAAGATCCGACTAATAAGTGGATTTCCATTTTTTATTGTTATTGAATGTTTACTGTGATATTGCAATGAAAAAGCGAATTCTTTAGGTAAAAATTACCGCCCTTCGCGATATTTTTATCGAAAATTGTTTAATTTCGATTACAAGCGAGATTTAACTTTGACATTGTTTAAAAAAAGTATTTTTCATACAGAAGAATGTTTTTTATGCAATTGTATATTGAATTCTTTAGGTTTTTCTGGGGAATTGTTTTATATGTGATAATTAAATTAAATTATTTATTTCAAGTGCCTCATAATCCGGGAGTATTGCCCATTTCTAGGAATCAATGACAATATCTTCTTATTGTTAAAGTGTTTAGTAAATTATTTAGAAATTTTGAACCAGATTGCCATGGAAAAATATACAATCCATAGGTTTTATCACTAATCAATGAGTCACAAATTTTGGTAGAGAGAAAAATACTCGAAAAATGACGGACCTTTTACGTAAACGTGAGGCTACCTTGATCCTTAGGGAAAAGTCATGGAAGTACCGTGAAAATAGTCCTGAAGCTATCGTAAAAATTCCTGCTCACTAGGACAATTTTTACGGAACTCTGTACTTTTCCCCGAAACGCAAAATTACCCGACGATTACGGAAGAGTTCCGCAATCTTTCAAGTCTTTTTTTCTCCGTTTGTTTTTAAATTCTCGACAAGGTTTTGTGATTTTTTTGAACTGGAGACATTGAATAATAATAAAACTTCGAAACAACATATGTTTTCACTTCAAATTGATTAACAATTTTTTTAATTCGGAAATTCGTTAAAAAAACTTGAAAAAAGAGAAGATATCGGTAAGAATTCCTTGCATTATTGAAATTCATAAATAAATCGCTCATTCAAACGTAATTGGAAACAATAAGCTGTGCAATACTTCTGATAGTCTTCAATTCCTGATATTCATTGCAAGATGAGCCATCCGATACTTCAATTATCAAGAATCGGAAGGAACAGCTGAGAAGTAGGCTTAATATCGTAGTGTCCTATTACCTATTACCCCGTGCAACAGCAAAATTCGATATCCCCCATGGAATAATGGTATAGCTTGTATCAGAGTAATAACAGATTAAGGTTTAATCAGAGGAGGCTTATACAAACTATTCCCCAGAATCGAATTTTAACAATACAAACGGTTCAGCGGGGTAATTGAGCGATACTTGGGAAAATCAATTAACGTGAGAGATAATCAAATTGACGGAGCTGTGTTAATTAACTGTTACAATTTATTGGAGCGAGAGAGGACATGCAAACAATATGAGATTGCATCTGCGATTAATTGCATCGGTCTGGGGCATTCATTGGAGTAATAACCCCTGAATAATTCACATTTTTTATTCTCCTGTCATGTGTATATCAAATTTTATTTTTAAATTTGTGATAGCAAATTGAGATTTTCCATTATTTTCCATTCAAAGTCTGCATTCAAGTCTTAATTAGTCTTAGTTCCATACTCTGGACTATGAAGAAATCTCGAAAAAGCTGATCTATTTTTATTTTTTATATGTTAAACATTTTTTTCTCTCCATTGGAGAGGAGAAATTCAACATTCATGTACAATTATTCTGATAGTCATTAGCGTGGTGTCTGTCATCGCGAGATCATGTCTGTATTTTTTTTTTCTTCTCCATTATCTAATGAGTCCATCTCATTCAAGGATGTGTTATTCTCTGATGGGAATGAGCCTCAGGCTGAGCACAGCCCACCTATCACTCTCTCAGGAAAGTCGATGAGGTTTGTGCGGCGACTCTGTCTACAGCGATGTCATTACTCTTCCAGGGAACATCACATTGACAGAAAAAGGAGGAATATGGGTCGATTCTTCGCTTTGTGAACGGTTGCCTTGGATAGAGACTTCTGTTCAGAGACGGATTCAATTTCACTCGTCTTGGGATGAATATTATTCCACGTTGGTGTGTACTTTTGCTTTCTGCTCCTTTTGTCTTCCCTGTTTCCAATTACCTGGTGAACATTCTAATTAAACACTTCTGAGGGGCTGGGGGGTGGATTGAGAGTTTTGAGGGTGCTGGTTCTCTCGGATAGAGGGAAATAATCGATTATCGAAAATTTCAAATATTATTGGATAAACAACGAGAATTTTCATTTCTGAATGATTATTTTACGAGAATTCAGAAGATGAGGAATAATATATGTTTTTGCATTTTCTAATTATTTAATTACTCACAAAGTTTCATGTTTCATGATTGTGCAATAATTTTTGCGTGTCTTCTAGTTTTCTTAATTTTTTAAAAGACATTCATGACATCATGACATTTTGGGAGTTATTAAATAATAATAAAATGGAAAAAGGGTATATTTTTGCAACAACTTGTCAGAAAATTCAGAAAACCGATAATTTTGGGTAGAAGGAGGCAGAACGTCCTTAAAGCCCATAGAATCAAGGCAAGATAGGATTTAACTTCATTTACCTTCGCGAAATACAAAAAAATGTTAAAAGATGGTAAAAAGATTGTAAAAAAAATTACTGACTCGAAGTCTTTTCGATGAAAAATAAATGCTCGAAAAAAATATAATAAAGATGTAAACAATGTTAGTCATTGAAATTATCGGTTAAACGTAGTGTATTTATTCGTCGACGGGTTTATAAAAATTCAAACGCAAGATTGTTCAATCGTTGCCCCGTCGAGCGGAATAATTAGCCTGGGGGCAAACGCCAGGGTGTATATGCACAGAATGGAACGACCCGTTGATGGAATGCGTACAGAGTAAGTAGCCTGGAGCGCAACAGGCGGCGTCCGGAATTTGCATTCTGGTGGAGGGACACTTTGTCTCGACAATAATTGATTCAATTACGCCAGGGTATCCCCAAATTACGCTCGGTTTCCACTTCGTTTTGGGTCGTGACTCTGATGATCAGGTCAATCCTGGCTCGAGTGAACATACTGAGAGATAAATTTTGTAAAATGCATTAATCTATTAGTTTGCAACCAAAAATCCTGGTTTTTATCAAATTTGATTTAAAACTAGTTAAAATTTTTTTGGAGTGAGTAACTATTGGATTTGTTTAATCTTTCAATAGATTCGCGTTAATCTATTGTTTCTTAACAAATATGTTGGGAAAATAAATAAATATAAACTTGACTTAGTTATATCAAATTGAAACAGAAAAATAAATTTTACTCTATTATTATTATTTAATCAATTTTATTTTATTTTTATTTTATTTTTATCAATTTTTTGGAAATCTTGAGAAGTTAAAAAATAGTTTTATAAATTTAATGCATATTCAGGCATATTTGCACAAATACTGTTTTCAAATTACAATTCTTGCGAACAATTAAAGTTACAATTGAAGTCCGAAGTTTTAATTAGCTGCCTTAATCAAACCTATTCAACTCAATATTTTACACTAGCGATCACATGTGTGTGTGACTATTCATTAATTTAATTTATTACTTCCAAGAGTTCTTTCAAATTAACCATTTTTTTCCTCAGGGCAGACGAATGAATATCGCCAATAAAATATTATAATTGAAACCAAAAATTAACGTACGCAAAAAATAAATAATTCAATTCATGATCGCATCACAGCATTTTAATAATTCAAGAACACCTTAAGTTTCAAACCTCATTATGAAAACAGGGAATTAAATTCAATTGAATTTTTATGATTTTCAATAGTTCTCGTTGGGGTATAAAAAGTAAAGCGGGGATTTAATTGAATATTGATATTCTATGACCACCACGTGACTTGGAATCCAAAAGTTTAAATAATTACTAAATAAGCCTGTTTTTTTCTGTGCGAGGGGTAATAAATTACCGGAATTTCGATGGGTCCAGTGGTTTTTTTCTAACGGTACCTGTGGTCCAGGCGCTTTATTTCACTTTCAGTCTCATTTTCGAATTAAATATTTACCTTGCAGGCCTTTCATTATGACCAGCAGTAAATTTTCAGGTTTTGACAGGTAAATGAGGGGATGTCCCCGAAGTAATCGAAAATGACTAAGTTAGGGGCTTAATTTTCAATCATAAACAGCTCACTCACTAGTCGAGAATCAATAAAACAACTTGTTGCAAAAAATGCAATGTTTCAGGTGCAGATTAACTGTCTGAGACAATAAAGATCTGGAGTATTGAATGAATGAAAATGCGTGACTAACCGCTGGGGAATGAAGCCTTTAATCACTATTTGAGTACCGGACTAACGACAGTTTAATGGATCTCTGATTTGCTATTGGAGTGCTCTTGGGAAACCCTATAGTGTAACAGTTAATGACCGTGAAAATCCGTGTTTAATTTATCCATAAAGTTCAAGGAGGGATTTAGTCGAGGTATTCGCGTTAAATTGTTTTTTACAAATATTCTCTTAAGATTCTAAGATTGTATCCACAATGTTAATGAATTCAATTAAATTGCAAATTTTTGACGAGCATCTTCCATGAGCATGGAGCGCATTCTGTAAAAAAAAATCTCCAACAATGTGAGATAACCATTTCATTGCAAAATGTCCGAAAGCTCAGGATGATATGGCGCTCAAATGGAAGCTTTGACATTCCGTGAAAACGGAAGAGAGAGTTTCCGTGAAAAAAAGTCTAAAGCACTCGATACTCTCAAATATAAACAGGAATGGGGTATGAAAGAGAGATGACGTCTTCCATTTGTCAGCGCAAAAAGGACGATCCGGAGTCTGAGGAAAACTCACGTCAGAAAGATTTTGCACAGAGAGAAAAAGTTTCTTGATGTTGAAAAAATCATTTCGCAATTTAGAAAATAAATTCTTAGGGAGCTGCATTCCTGAATCAAATATATTTTATTATCGATGAATATCGATGAAAAATTTATTTTCCCAGAATTCTAATAACAATAATAACTACATTATTATACTCGAATTAACTATAAAATATACTTCATATAAGTATTGATTTTCGTCCATAAAGTATTAAAAATTCTGAGAGAAAAGTGAGTAGGAAAATTGATTAAGTAAATAAATAAATCAAAAAAGGTAAAAATTTTCAAAAAAAATCTGAATATTCTTTTTTTAAAAAATAACGCCAGTGTCGTCCCTAAATTCTCGTCTATGAATGACGAATAAGGGGAACAGTTAATTCTTCCGTCGAAAGATTTTGAAATATTTTTTTCTCTGAAGAATGAGGGAGAGGGAGGATCGGAAAGATGCATCAATACAAGTAACATTTGCGCCCAAGGTATGAACGAGTCGTGCGGTTGCATTGGCCTGACCGTTATTGAAGCAGAATGGACTCCACCCGCTTTATTCCATCGTTTCTTGTGGAATAAAAAAAAAATAAGAGAAAAAAGAGAGGCGAGGATATGATAGCCCTGGAGTACGAAAGGAACATTCTGGGGAAGACATGCGCACGCCTGGTTTGGGGGGGCCTGAAAGCCATCTCCTCGGTGTGACGATCCAGTGGGCACAGCGGGTGTACGCCTCGTATTCCATCTCTCTGTGCGGTCCATATCCACAGCACGTGCGTTTTTCACCTCAAGTTATTCTTCGTTACTTCCTCACAAGTCAATGCTCACACACCTATCCCATACCCATACTTTATACCAAGCAAATTTATCGTGCCAGCTGGTTAACGAGTCACAATCCCTTATTGACTCTCTGCACCTTAAATATTTCGGTTATTTTACACCTGCCCTGCCTGCCCTGCATGGGGAGCTTGTCTTCTTGCCACCAGTGAATCATGATCTTGGAGACAAATTTCTTTGAATTCTTCTTATTTTTCCTCGAAGCTACTGGAAAAAGTGCGGAGCTACTTCTGTATTTGGATTTGTATTTTTTCGCTGTGGACTTATCCATTGTTTTCGCTCGCCTTCGCAACAGGATTCCGCGGTTTGACACGCGTTGACAAAATATTACTGTCCTTTATCGCCTCGCTTATCACAGAACATCTTTGTCATATTTCGATATGATTTGAGACATTTGACGTAAAACACTTATGGTTCGGCTATCGTGATGTAAACCAAGTGGATTCGCTGTAAATGAATCTATTACCAAAGATTAATCAAAAAAATTGTAAAGGATAAAATAATGTTTCTCCTAAATGATGAAGAAGAATAACTGGATTTTTTCGAGACCACGTTTTAGTTGATATTTCAGAATTGAAGAAGGATAGCGACATTTTTGTACTTGAACTTTTTGTAGGGAAAATAAAGAGTTACAAGAAATGTCATTACGAAAAACCACGATTTTTCTTTGATTTTGAAGTATTTGTTAAAGATTTGCCTTTACGAAGTTTCACTGACAGTTTACGCCTTCGTTTAATTATGTTCACTAACTCTTGAATTTATTATAATTATTCTCGAAAGAAATAATAACGTTCCATACAATAACGGAACTCCGGGAGAATATGGGGCAAATGGCTATTTTAAGTATCACCGATCGATTTTCAAGAGGAATGGAAACTTTAATAAGCGGTGGAATGTTAAAAGAAATTAAACCCCACAACATTTATTGGAATCGATAAAAATGAGGAAAATTCAGAGAAATCCTTGACTTTCCAATGAATTTTAGGATAATTAAAAGGACGTAAAGTCCGTTGCACTAAGCAATCATCCTCCATCATATAGCATTGCAGGAATTTCATTCTCGGAACATTTGATAACGAGGGGCAACAGAAAACAACGACATCGTAAAAATAATTGCGCCTGAAATTTGGTTCCTCGCAACTCCCTAGACCGAACCACCAGCGTAAAAAATTGAAATAAAAGGGTCTTGGTCGTAATTCAGTTAAACATGGTTTTCAGGATAATGATAAAAGCTCGGTTAACAAGGATCATAACGAGAGACCGAGACGGAGATGGATAATCGGGGATTTATAATGAAACGATATTACGGGTTTATATGGATGTGATGAGCGGTGTCGCTAATTAAGTTTCGGGTGGAGCTAGAATCGGAAAATTCAAGTCGAGTTGTTGGACATTTGATGAACGTTTCGAGAGTCACTGGAATATTTTTACCTCTATGTGCAATGGCGAATCGATACTGAAATTAGTCATGAACACGTGCCGCGATATGACACGGAGTGGAGATAAAAATAATTATCACTGAGTCAATATCAAATAACAGTAAAGGATTTCAAGCGATGATAGCCTGAAGTATTTGTCAATTATCATTAATGAGAAGAGATTTATGATCTTTGGTATGTGATGTGGTGGACAGACTGTTGAGTGCATATTGTCTAGTATCCGTTTTGCTTTTTATTCGATAAAATAAGAATGGGGTCTCGAGAGGTGAATATAAAAAAAATTCAGCACAAATAAAAAATGAACTCGTGCTGTCACCGGATGCCACCGGAAATATAAATAATAATATCCATTTTTGTTGGACACGATTCTGAACCATCCGCAATGAACTTTTCAACCAATTTTTAATTAGTTTGTCGTGAGATTTTCTCATTATGTTACTGGCAAACCTGCTGAAAAAAAAATGATGAAAACACTCTGGAAAACCAGAAAGGACTGGGGGTTTTCCATTAATGTACTTTTACGTGAAACTTTCTTAATTCAATGAAAAACTTATTCCATCTCTTCATATCCGTGTGCCAGTAGATGGACCGAAGCGTTTATCAAGATTCCAAGAGGGATGGGGGTGGAGGCGAAAAGGGACACAGAGGGAAAAAGTTTTTCCAACATCTTATATAACTCGCTGAGACCCAAATGCTTCCGACTGCATATTTTTATGAAGTTCAGCACAGGCTCTGTGCATTTTTCTATTATAATTGTAGAAAAAAATAAACCGATGATAATGAGGAATTCATTCCGTTTATTTCAACATTTCTCTTTTTTTTATTAACCACTCATGGAGTATGAAACTATACACTAGTAAATAAATAACTTCTACCAATGAGATTTTAGGTCAGCATTTTGGGAGTGTATTTTTTGTAGAAATTTAATACAAAGGATTTGCTACAATTTAAATATTACATATTTATTATTTGGCATTTCTCAACTATTTCACTTTTTTTTTAATTTTCATAGAATATTCAGCAAAAGGAAAACGAATAAAAAAGTAGAGGAAAATTTGTCTTTTTAATTAGAGGCACTGTACTTTGTTTGTTATTCAAAGAAAAAATGGTAATAAAATTATTTTCACTTGCATTATGGAAATGTCAGACACTTTGTATTTTAATTAGAAAAATTTCTGTTTTGTAAAAATTTTATATGATAGAGTGTCGAAATATAAAAATGGAGATAGATTACAGTGAAAAACCATACTCTCTTAAAAAGACTGAATACTGATTTGTCATGCGATTTTTTAATTATTTCAAGTCGTTTATAATTTCCACTTCAATTCCAATCGCTAAATATTAAACAAAAAAAAAATAAATAAAAATCGTTTTATCGAAAAAAAATACACGAATAGATGAAATTAGATGATAAACTTATTTTTTCTTCTATTTCGAAAATATCGTACATTTTTTCGTTCATTCGAAAAAATTTCCTATATCATAGAATAATCCCTGAAATTGAAACAGAAAAAAGTGAAGACAGAAAGGGATTATTTCCTTATATAAGAATTTCGTATGAAGGTGTGTCAGTATATAAAAAGAAAAACTGATTACGATGAGAACTCGTAGTCCGCCAGTTGAGAAGAGACTGGATTCTGGAAGGCCGGTGTTTCGGAGATGTAACCGTAAGGACTTCCATGCGTTGAAGGTGCAACATCGACCATAGAGGAGGAAGGAACTGAGCTGCCTGTGTCATCTGTGGATCTTATTGAAGTTATGATGGGCTTGGTGTCGTGCTCCACTGGCTTTGCCATGTACTGTTGATAACTGGGGATTGTGGAAGGTCCTGGGGCAAGATCTTGAGGAGGCTCTGCATGAGTCGATGTCGTTGGCAATTCCAATTTCACTTGCACGTCGCCCCAGGTGTCGACTGGATTGTTCATCATCTTGAGTCTCTGTGCTTTCTTACGGTTTGAACATACTTTGTTCACGTGCCTCACGAAATCCTTCGTGGGGAGAATCCACCCCAGTCGCATGTTTACCAAATCTACAAATATTTTCATTCATTTTTTTCCTACACTCGGATTTTGTAAGATAGAAATTGCAAGTTTTCAACTCAATTCTTATCTCAATGCATTATCGCATATTTATTTATTAAGTATAAATAAACCAGAAGAACTAATTATTTTGGAAAATTGTACTATGACACAAGGTGTAATTATTTTTATGAGCCATTAATTTTACAGACATGACATGAACGCACCGTAAATCGTACGGAAGACAGCTGGATCGATGCCTTGGGCACCTCTGCTACCCTTTGCGGACAAGTGTGCTAATTGTTTACCGTAAATTTCTACGAGTATATCAGTGGTTAATTTTTTCCAGTCCATTCGATCCTGACACCGATGAAATATTGCAGCTATTGTCATTGGAGGTAGAAATCCCTCAAGATTAGACTGGAGGTTCACCTATTTTCGGGAGAATTCAAATATTAAGGATCAGCACGTGCACAGCAGTCTGCGCATATCAATCTCGGATGGTTAAGAACTTAAGCGAAGAGCAGGAATAGTTCCCATGAAATATTTTCAAGGGAATGGGCAGTTTCATTTATTACCGATTCTGGCTCGATGATGGATATTGGATCTGGCTCGGGCTCCTCAATAATTGTTTCCTGTTTTCGAGAAACCTTCTGCTGCTTTTTGTACACTTTCTCCATCAATGGGAGCAGCTTTTGAATGAATTTTATACTGTCGGCTGTCACTAAAAAATTATGACCGTCAGGGAACGTTGCAAATGCCTTCTGTTCTTGGGGTAATTTTTCTAGTTTTTTTCTTTCAGTATTAGGGGGTAATGAGGGGTGAAAATACCGGTGGAAAGAAGAGATTTCACTGCTTTCAAGTCATCGTCACTGTCATCTCCAGGCTCATTAGCTGATTCCTCCGAGCTTGATTCACTGCTCGATGAATCATCAGAGTCACTGCTTTCATCCATGTGTTTCGATTTCCTATGTTTTCCTGATTTTTTTCTCTTCCTCTTAGATTCTTTCAGTTTCAACAGCTTTTTCGCTAGGGACTCGGACTTTTTTATTGTTCCTTTTGCTAATTTGTTCGTGGACATTTGTACTATTACTCCTGTCTCGGGGTCGACTGTTATATTTTGCAACTCTGTTTTATTTTCTGTAATTATGGGGAATTGACGATTTGAAAAAATTGATTTTATTGCTAATTTCATTAATAAAAGTACAATAATTAAAAAGCAAACTTATAAAAAATGTTCTCAATGTGAGATGTAAGCAAAATATAACTTTTTTTTTATCAAAAAAATTGAATAAATTGTTAAACAACAATAAAATATGAAAAATAATATTTTTACAGTACTTGACGTTCAAATAAATCTCTTCAAATGAAAAATAATATATCGATAAAATAGTTTGATAGAAATCGAAGCCATCAACATTTTTTTGGACTGGTTACGGGTATTAATACCCTATGTTTATGCGCGCGTAAATTTCGCGATTTAAAATTCAAAAGAGTCGATGCCCGCGCGTTCGCATTAAAGTAGAACACCCATTGGCTGTAGAATCGCGAGTTCACATCTGTCCCAACTCAAGGCCTGGGTATTCCCTCCTACCAGTTTTCCCCTTCTCACCAGTGACTGGCATCAAACCAGTTTTCAAACCTTTGGAAATCAGCTGATCCCGACAGTGCTGCCATTGAAATACAAAAAGCATTCGACCGATTCGTTCAACGGTCTTGGTGTTTCATTCACCCAAAAAATATAACTCAACTTACGCTCAATTTTCACTATCTTGGCAAGACGCATCTCCGAGACACCAGACAGCAAATGACGACACTTGAGATTCACAATGGCATTCTCCCGGCGATACTTCTCGGGAATCATCTGGCACTTGAGGATTTCCGTGCGCTTCGACTGGATCCAGTGCACCAGGGCGAATCCTTTTCCCATTTCTTTATGATTCTGGGTGACTTTGGGGATTTTTTTTATTGTTCTGGAGAGATTTGGGTATGAATTTTATGCAATGATGGCGCTACCAGGGAAATGGCGTGGCAAGTTCGCGCGAACAAGGCCGAATAGGTTTCAAGTAGGACAAAGACTGGAACACTGTGTGCGCCGTAAAACCTGCGTCGCAGCTGCCAGTCATCCCCACCCGGCTATCGACCAGTCTTGATACACTAGGGTTTCAGCAGGCTGCCTTTTGCACTCCCAAAAAATTCCTCTACAAATTCCACCTAATGGTTTTCACATCCTAATTTCGACCAATCAGAGTTGCCAGATGGATAAAATAGTAATGTACGCTACAAGGGCTGAAAAGTATTTTGGCACCGTGAGAAGATGATTTTATGAGAATTCGCGTTGAAAGCGCGCATTGTGACCAAATATGTTGCGAAAATGATTTTCAGAGCGTGTGGTATATGTGACTTTATGTTACCAGGCTCAACTAACTGAGTATTTTTATTGCCCTAGGGAGGTAAGTAAAAACGAAGGCGATCAGCGGCCACTTACCTCTCTAGGGCAATAAAAATACGAGGTTAAGGCGAGCCGAGTGACATAAACGCTCTTTTGAATTTATACGGGAGGTAAAATGGACCCCCTAAGCAGAAACTCGTTCCTCAACGATTTTTACCACTCAAATCACTAGTCCGTAACGTCAAAAACATCCACCGAAATATATTTCTCATTATTTATTGTATTTATTATATAATCATTACTGAAGAAAAAAACCTATAAAATGGAAGATGAGTCCATTTAACGCACACGGTCCATCTTACCCACACACAATCAATCAAATGAAGTCGATAATGCGTAAAGTTGATATTTTTCAAACGACCCAGTTGATATTTCGTTCGGGCCTTGTCATGATTACCTGCTTAGAATATATATAAATATATATAAATATGTGAAAGAGGCGTCTAGCAACACTAGGACAACTTCACGTCAGTTTTATTTTTGAGATTCTCCTGGTTACAGGTGAATTAGCATAGTGGTAATTTCGGAGTGGCTCATCAATTGTTTTCCATGATTTTGACAGATTTACGGGCAAGGTGCTGCTGGTAATAAAACCAAGTACATTTTTTTCTATATAATGTCATTACTCTATTTTTATTCTAACTTCAAAAATAAAAAATCGTAAACTCAAGTGAAAAATTACTACACATTCAATGTAAATATCGTGAAAATGTGGTACCGGTTCTTGAAACATTTCTTTGTATATATACTTTCCTTTGTATATATATACTCCCATGTGGTTTTATGATTCCATATGAATTTTTAATAAACGTCATCACGACCACAGACTTTTTTACACCGTGGGAATGATTAATCTCGATATTCATCAAATAAACGGGCTATCGAACCTGGTAAATATGCTTTCGCCAATTTTATACCGGGCTCACTGGTAGTAATATTGTAAAAATGTTTCTGCCTACCCATTATTCAATAATAAATATATTCCGCAGGCCGTCAAAGAGATTTCGAACTATTCGTGGTGGTTTATTCCGTTCCATTAATTTCCGATGAGATAACATCGTGTTCCATTTTTTTTTCGTATAAAATTGGTGAGTAGAATCTCATAGATTTTTTATTTCAATGTTTATTTATTCATTTAGAGTCACATACATGGCGTATTTTTTTATCTCGAGACTCTTAAGATTTGTATTTTTCACAGGAGAGATGTTATATTTTTCTCTGGATATTTTTCATTCGATAAAAATAATTCAAGTCAGAGATCTCTGATAAGGTTAATAAAATCAAAAAAGTAGAGATTCCGAATCATTTGTCACGGTTTATTCGATTCCATTAATTTCTCATGTGATAAAATCGTGTTTCATTTTTTTTCTATTAAATTGTTGCGTAAAACATGGATTTTTCATTTCAATTTTTATTTATTTATTTAGAGTGGTGTGAATAACGACTTTTTTAATCTAAAGAATTTAGAATATTTACTATATGATGGCATATTTTTTTCTCTCCTTTTCATATTTTCTATTCATTAAAGACGATTCGAATTATTAATGATTTATTTAGCTTAACGATTCCACCGTTAAGTATTTTATTGATTGATATTGATCATTTGAAGGAGAAAATAAAATTTTCCGTGATTCTACCGTGGAAATAAAGTGGAATGGAGGGTAAAATTTTTAAGAATGAAGAAAAATGAACTGAAAAATGATATTAAATTTTGAGGATTCTTGCGATATCGTAAAGTAGTCTGTGATATATGAGGGCGATTACGATTCCTGGATCGTCATTTACTTTAACAAATTCAAGCTGAATCGCAGGCGATTCTCCCAGGAATTACACGGAAGTGGGACGGTTCTTGAATTTCAAGAGATCACATTTAATTCACCAACGGCCACTTCGGTATTCAGCGTAGAGTCTCAAGACTCTTCACGATCAATTTCCAATAGCTCTCCGCTATCTCTCCCTGGTACATATGCAAGCACAAGCCCGGATATCTTTTTCCCCGAGTTTCCAGCGATATTTACTCTGAAAATTCCACCCCCTGCCCCACGTGAATTAATTATGCCGCAAGGAAGATTGCCCGACGAATCGGATTTTCCACGTTTCTGCACTACATCCAGGGGCATGTCTGCGATTGATTTCTCTCCATCCGCTGATTACTTCCCTCCACTGTTACGAAGCGGGAAAACTTTGCAAAATCAATTTTAATTATTGTTCCATTGAATTTCAAATTCTTCCACGAATATTCATTCCCAATTTCGGGATAATTGAAACAATTTTGTTGAGATTCGATGGTTATTTATTCACCACTCGATATGAACAAATTACATAAGTACAATTAAGGTGAATCGATGTCCTCATGTACTATACAGTAAACTCAGTATAATTCGGGTGTTTCATCCGAAATTGAAATCAGGACTCGTTACTGGCTGTTATATTTTGCAACTCTGTTTCATTTTCTGTAATTATGGGGAATTGAAAATTTGAAAAAATGATTTTACTGCTAACTTGAATTAAATTAAATTATTAAAAATTGCATAGCTCTTATGAACATTTTTTTTTATATACAAAATTTTTTTATAATTGGTTTATAATTCTCACGTAAATAATAATTATTTTAAATACCAGGTGCACGTCTGTACACCTATGAATCTGAAAATTTTATTTTTTCCGAACAATCGAATTATTAATTTTAATTAATTAGTATTAATTATGTACTTTCACTACAAAATGAAAAAGTATGGATCAAGACTATATTGCATATATTGTTATAGATTTGATTCATTATATATAGGCTGGAAAGGAAGTGAATACTTTTTTGGTAATACCTGCCACTACGATCCGCTCGCGAATTTTTTAATCCCACGAGTGAGAAAATCTATCCCGCACTGTATTTCATGCGAAATTCAACATTAAGACGTGCATAAAAAACGAGAAACGCATGCGTCAGCGTGCGTAAGTCACCATTTACTGCCTAAAATGACGTAAATATTTCGCATGTACCATACATGATGATTACAGGCACGCAAAGCACGTCCTAACTGCGGTGCTGTAAATTTGGTAGAGCGATAAAATTTTTCGTGCCACAAGAACTTTCGTAAAAAATGAGCTTACCCGCATTAAAGTTTTTAGGCTATTTGAATTTGAATTTTCGGAAGAATCTCTTAATTTTCCGAGGTGATCTATGCTTGTGAAAAAAGAGACCAGAACCCTTGACTTTTACAGCCTCATAGGATTAACGTTTATGACTATAACGGCAATAGCTGTGCGCTCGGCAGTTCGTTGAAGCACAAGCTCGTTACTTCTACAAACACTCGCCCTAATATTATTTCTCCTCGTCCTCCTCCATTTTTAACAACCAACTTGATAATTAGAATAAAATACACGGCTTTTTATGTAAGGTGGGATACGAAAAGGGGCGGAGGGCGAGGTTTTCGAATTGGGCCTGACCAAATATTGGTGTAATTGCCGTCATTTCTCTCCGGAAAATGAGGGGCTTCCGCTCTATTAGTCTTGCTTTGATACTCATCTGAATTCACTATTCTGAAGATTATCTCCTCTGGAATTCTGTGGACCTCACAACGAAAACAAGTAGATGAAATCAATGAGACAATAGTTTATGACCTGCAATTGAGTGAATGAATCATTGGAAGGGAGTGGATGATGAAGAATTACCATAATGATTATCGTAAAGTTTCGTCGATGTTGGGCAATTTGATGGAGCATAAAATGTGGGGCATAATATGTTTTTTCAATTTCCACGAATTTATTGAACTCGCATTTACATTTTTCCATTGATCCTCTTTTAAATAAAGAATGTGAAGGTTTTTTATGGACTTTATTTGGGTATTAATAGTTGGGAAATAATTCCTTCTCAACCTTGAAGAGTTTATTTCTTTGTATATGTAGGGATTTTTATGGATTAATATCATGACATTTAATGGATATATTCTGTGTCCACAAGAGTCCGCCGGAGTTGACGTCTTTAGTGCCATTTTTTAATAAAAAACATTTAAATAATATTGTATGCAATAATATTTGAATAATGTTATCTGTCTGGTATCTATGTCGAATGTTAATGGCGTCTGAACAATCGAAATGGAATTAATTTGCAATAAATTTACAGTTCGTTGAAGTATAAATTGAAAACAATATCATACAGAATTAAAAATCCTTTTTCCGTAGTATTTTTTAATTTTTGTTGTTCAGAAATCGGAATTGGGAGGATTTTGGTGGGAAATTACATTGAGAGTTCAAGTAAAATAATTTGATATATTCAATAAAAACAATTTGACATGAAATTTGTGAAGGATTTACGAATCAATTAATTTCTTGAATATTCTGGTAATTCTCTATTTTCAAATCCATATTCCACTGATCCAGTGAATAAGTTGAAAAATCTAGTAATAATTTCTCTGAATTCCCAATCTATTGGAAATTCTATTGCATTTTTTCTTGAATTTTTGTGATGAGCATGAAAATTTAAGCTCTCACTGACGAATCAATTATCATTCAATATGAAAAATCCACTTTTTTTAAATTTTCAATATAAATTAGAAATTTAGTGACACTTTTCAATTGAAAGAGAATTCAAACTCATGTAATTGAAAATTCGAATGACTTTGTGACTGA